AATATATACAGAAGACAAGAGAGGAAGTGAAAGGCTAAAATGGTTTTTAGAAGTGAGAAAAATGACAGAGAGAAAGGAAGAGAGCTCAGAATTTCAGGAGGAAGATGATAGATGGTTGCTCATGTAACAGGTCTTGGGTGACCTCTCATCTCTTCTACCTCACCCATCCTGTTAACTCAGAAATAATGCTTTTGTTCTAGAAACTCACCTTCAAGAATCACCTTCTGCTAAAATCAGCATTAGAGTCTGGCTAATTCTGAGGGAAAATGCCACTGTTCTTGAAAACACACACATGTTAGAATTAATAATTACTTTTTAATGGAAAACAATATCTAAAAATCACTAGCTATTTGAGGAAGAACTGTAGTACAAAATATAAAAAACAAAGCAAACAAACATAAAAGAGCAACTTAAGAGTAAATTCTCGGAAGTGTTCTGATCTGTGTAGTCTTTATCACAGTATCTCCAGAATTAGATAAGACAGATAGTATTTTGTTGTTGTTGTTTTTTATCTCTATTGTTGAAAATATTACAGATGTCCCCTTTTTTCCCCCCATTGATCCCCTCCATCCCACATCCACCCCACCCCCAGGCCTTCCCCAGACCAATGTCTGTGACCATGGGTTATGCTTATAAACATATAAGTTCTTTGATTGATCTCTCCCCACCCACTCCCCCTCCCCACCTTCCCTCTGAGATCCCTCAATCTGTTCCATGCTTCTATGTCTCTGGATCCATTTTGTTCATCAGTTTATTTTGTTTATTACATTCCACATATGAGTGAGATAATAGGGTGCTTGTCTTTCTCTGACTGGCTTATTTCACTCAGCATAATACTTTCTACTTCCCTCCATGCTGTTCCAAAGGATAAAAGATCCTTCTTTTATAGCTGCATGGTACTCCATGGTGTGAATGTCCCACGGCTTTTTTATCCACTCATCTACTGATGGGCACTTGGGCTGTTTCCAGATCTCAGCTATTGTAAATTGTGCTGCCATGAACATAGGGGTGCGTATATTCTTTCTGATTGGTGTTTCAGGTTCCTTAGGACATGTTCCTAGAAGTGGAATCACTGGGTCAATGGCAGGTCCATTTTTAATCTTTTGAGGAACCTCCATACTGTTTTCCATAGTGGCTGCCCCAGTCTGCGTTCCCACCAGCAGTGCACTAGGCCTCCCCTTTCTCCACACCCTCGCCAGCCCTTGTAGCTCATTGACTTGTTGATGGAGCCATTCTGACAGATGTGAAGTGATACCTCATTGTGGTTTTAATTTGTATCTCTGATAATTATTGACTTTGAGCATTTTTTTATATGTCTCTTGACCATCTGTATGTCCTCTTTGGAGAAGTATCTATTTAGGTCTTTTGCCAAAAAAACAAAACCAAAAAAACCCCACTAGCTATTTGAGGAAAAACTCTAATACAAAATATAAAGAACAAAGCAAACAAACATAAAAGAGCAACTTGAGTCAATTCTCTGAAGTGTTCTGATCTGTGTAGTCTTTATTACAACATCTCCAGAACTAGATAAGACAGATAGTATGCTTTTGAAGGCAGAAAAGGTGTTATAAAAAAACAAACATTTGAAGAACAAAAAGATGTTTTTGAAAATTAAAAAATTAATAGCAGAAAAATTTGTCAAGAGATATATTAGAGCATAAACTTAAAGAAGTATACCAGAGCATAATGCAAAACAATAACTAATTGGAAAATAGGAAAGAAAAGATAAGAAAATTTAAAAATAAATCCAGAATGTTCAACATCCATAAAAGAGTTCCAGAAACAACACTGAAAGCAGGAAACAAAATTATCAGAAAAGGACACATTTTTCCAAATTAAAAGATTTACTGAATGCCCAGAACTATGGGGCACAAGAGATTCCCTCCAATAAAAAATCATGTAATTTTAGGTGGACACAAAGAGAATATCTAGAATCATATTTCTCAATCGTAACTACAAAAACTAGAATCTGATAAAACAAGACTTACAAAATTATTTTCAACCTAGAATTCTCTACCCAGCCAAACTCCTAATTAAGGTTGGCAATGGTACAAAGTCATTTTTGGACATGCAAAATCTCAAGATATTTACCTCCCATGTATGTTTTCTCAGTTAGCTACTGGAGGATGTGTTGGATTAGAACATGGGAATAAAGAAAAAGGAGGGTCTGGTATATGAAAAACAAGAAACCCAACATTAAAGCCAGAGAGAATCTTTGGGATGATGCTGAAAGGAAGATTTAAGGACAATACATTCATCAAATCTGGGCAGCAACCAGTCCAGATTAACAGCAGATAAGAAGGCTAAAGAAGAGATTTTTCAATAAATTAAAACTGAAAAAACACATAGATGTTGAATGTATTAAAGGAAGGTTTACATTGAAGAAGAGACTTCTGTTGAATTACTCATAAGTACCTAGAACACTAAGTATGTGAATACAGAAAGGAATTTTTAATGACTGGGTTTTAGGACAGAGGGAAGCTGTACCAGAAAGGACACCATAGCGCACTACGTGTGTAGCTCTGACTACTACCAGCATTGTCATAATGTAAGTAGCGATCTAACAACAGTCATGATGTAACTATACTGGAATGGTAAGGGCCCATGAAGCTTGTTTGTGTGTCTATGTGGGTATGAAGGTGTGATGGGAGATTGTGAACGTGAGCCAAATCCTGAACTTTCATAATGGGAAGGCCATGGATAATGCCAAACCTGGAAAATCAAGAAATAGCAGTGTTAGCAAACCATGTGGATATAAGGATTAAAATGATCAAATAATCATGTATATATATATACACACACACACAAACACACACGCACACATATATTTGAAATTTATTGCCTCTGGGGATCAAGAAATGGGGAAAATGAAGAATAACGGACTGCAGATTTTTAAAAAATATATTTATTGATCTCAGAGAGAGGAAGGGAGAGGGAGCGAGAGAGAGATAGAAACATTAATGATGGGAGAGTCATCACTGATCAGCTGCCTCCTGCATGCCCCCGACTGGGGATCGAGCCCGCAACCCTGGGCATGTGCCCTGACCAGGAATTGAACCACGATCTCCTGGATCTTAGGTCAGTGTTCAACCGTTGAGCCGTGCCAGGCGGGTGGGGCAGTAGTTTTTTGTAACAAGCTTATAGAGTCCTTGAAATACATGCATAACTGATAAAATTGAAAAAAAAATAGCTAGAGAAAGGANATTATATATATATATATATACATTATTTAATGATCCATCTTAAAAGTTATTAATGTCTAGCTATTGGCCCTTCACATCATTTGTAAAGTTGTTTCTAATAAAACATCAACCTGGTTGGTTTTGGACAGGCTTTGGATGGCTAAAGGATTCAGTGTCGAATGAAAATCTATGAAAAACATTTGTTAATATGGCAGCATACTCTTCAGGCTGCTTGGAGAACCATAATCTGTTTATGAGTTGCTAAAATTTCGCTAACTTATTTGGGCAGTACACTGTCTTAGACAACGTTGCCTGGAGATTTGTAATCAAGATGGGATCAGGGCTAGTAGGGGAAGGGGTTTAGGTTCTCTAGGCCTGGCCACATTGTAGGGGAAGATGGTTTATGGGGTTGTTTTTTTAGATATATCTTTATTGATTTCAGAGAGAGGAAAGGAGGGGGAGAGAGAGAGACAGAAACATCCATGATGAGAGAGTCATTGATCGGCTGCCTAGCCCGCAGCCCGGGCATGTGCCCCGACCGGGAGTCGAACCCCGATCGCCTGGATCGTAGGTCGATGCTCAACCGCTGAGCCACGCCCGGCCGGGCTATGGGGTTTTGGGATCTATTAAATTCCTTTCACACTAGGAGCCTTTTGATTACCTTTAAAGTGGGAGAACTCTGAGACCATTTTAAAAGAGAGGGGACAGCAGTCACACCACTAATAAATCAAACAATTTTTCCCTTCTTTTCAAGCTCCCCTCTAACCTAACGCTTTTCAATTCTGCAGGAACTTGTCCTTTTTGGGTTTCCAGTTAGTGATAATGATAATTCTTGTGCCTTTAAAGCTCAAAAAGACCTTAAGACATAGAGTTATGAGTCAATAAGAAAAAAAAGTCCCCATTGTAGAATTTTGATTAAAGGAGGAATCACTTTCTCTTCATATCACAGACTGATGGCCCACATTGAAGGCTGGCCACATCTATGAAAACTGTCTCCATCACAAAGAATTCCTTCCCACCTGCCACCTTGACCACAGTTGTCTCAAATTTCCAATAATGTTTAGAACACCTAGTAGAGTCCAAGCATTAATGGTCCCTGTCAATGAAATCTGTGCTGTAGCACATAGTTCATCCCTCTCCTGGAGAAAGCTCTCCACCTGACCCTGACCCCCGTCTCACCTTCCCAAACACTCTCACCTGACTCATCCTTCTATTTTTGTCAAGTCACTTTCTCCTATAAGCTAGGTTAGATGGCCCTGCTATAGGTTTATTTATCAAGACAATTAAACAGCTAATAACAATGTATTGCGCTCATTGCCCATTTTCCCCTTTAGGTTATAAGAGTTATAAGGGCAGAAAAGTTTCTTTTTCCCCCCATATTGGTTTTTCTGGGCCTTATACAATGCCTGACCCTAGCATAGGAGGGACTCAATAAGAATGGATTTGCTATTTTTCTACTTTTAAAAAAATATTTTCTCACTCTGTATCATAATGGTGACTGATTATGGGTCTTTTTATGCCTATACCATCTGTGATTGAAAACCACATATTAATCTATGTGAATGGCACAGAGAGATTATGGAAATTGCCAGTTTTCACCCCAAATTGGAATGTTAAAATATGCAGAGTGGTTGGCTTTCTTAAAGAAGTTCTTGGAATCCATTAACAAACAAATGCATCTTCATTTTATATTATAGTTGGTCCAGAGACAAGAAGACAACATCTAATATACTTGAGGATTGCATTAGATGGCAAGTCATTTGGCACACTAAAATCATCTTAATATGATTTATTCACAATTTTTCTATTTTATTACAGCCGAGGCACCGACAACAGACTGGCCCACCGGCGGCAGACAATTCTCCGTGAGAAGGGGAGAAGGTTAGCTATCCGAGGACCCGCATATATGTTTAATGATCGCTCAACCAGCCTATCTGTTGAGGAGGAACGCTTTTTAGATGCAGCTGAATATGGCAACATCCCAGTGGTGAGAAAGATGTTGGACGAATGCCTCTCACTCAATGTTAACTGTGTGGATTACATGGGCCAGAATGCCCTGCAGCTGGCAGTGGCCAACGAGCATCTGGAAATTACAGAACTTCTACTCAAGAAAGAAAATCTCTCTCGTGTTGGGGATGCCTTGCTTCTGGCTATCAGTAAAGGTTACGTTCGGATTGTCGAAGCCATTCTCAGTCATCCAGCTTTTGCTGAAGGAAAGAGGTTAGCAACCAGCCCCAGCCAGTCTGAACTCCAGCAAGATGACTTTTATGCCTATGATGAAGATGGGACACGGTTCTCCCATGACGTGACTCCAGTCATCCTGGCTGCCCACTGCCAGGAATATGAAATTGTGCACACTCTCTTGCGGAAGGGTGCTCGGATTGAACGGCCTCATGATTATTTCTGCAAGTGCAGCGAGTGCAACCAGAAACAGAAACATGACTCCTTTAGCCACTCCAGATCTAGGATTAATGCCTATAAAGGTCTGGCAAGTCCAGCTTACCTGTCATTGTCTAGTGAAGATCCAGTCATGACAGCTTTAGAGCTGAGTAATGAGCTGGCGGTGCTGGCCAACATTGAGAAAGAGTTCAAGGTAGGTCTTTAACAATAAGGACTTTACCCTCCACAGATCAAAGTCAAGGAAGGTATACATACAAGCATCCACTGTGTGCGCAGCATTGTGCTAGTTAGTGTGCTGGTTAGTAGGCAATTTTATGTGTATTTTTTCAACACTTATAATTATATGTAGCAAAAGTTATGATTGCTACCATTTAGAGATATTCTAATATATATTAGACATTTTACAGTTATTATGTCTAATGTTTATCACAACCTTGAGAAGATACTAGTTCCTTTGCAGATGGAGAAATGAAGGTATGGAAAGGTTAAGTAAGGCCCAAGATCAACAACTGGTAAATGACAGAGCTGGGACTAGAATCTAGGTACGCTGTGCTCTAAAACCCAGGTTCCTTCTCCTGTAAAACACTGTTTCTGTATTCAGAGCATGGTGATCAATGCCATTGAGGTCAGAAAGATGAACAAGCTGAAGGAAGTGACAGTTTGACTTGAGAGACAGATGCATACATACCTTCTGCATGGTGTAAATATGGACATTTAAAAGTAGAATTCTTAAATTGCTCCATCAGATGTATCCAGGGGCCTCTAAATGCTATAATGAGTTGATGCCCCTCATCAATTATTTTTTTTAAATAGGTTTTTATCGATTTTTTAGAGAGAGAGGAAGGGAGAGGGAGAGATAGAAACATCGATGAGAGAGAAATATTGATCGGCTGCCTCCTGCACTCCCTCCCCACTGGGCATCGAGCCCACAATCCAGAAATGTGACCTGACTGGGAATCAAACCAGTGACCTCTCGGTGCACAGGATGACAACTACCTGAGCCACACGGGCCCGGCCCTCATCGCCTATTTTAGAAATAAGTGAATGACCTCTTCTTTAACATTCAGAATAGCTACATCTTTCTTTTTTTTCCTTGAGCTTCTATTTTCAGTCCAAATTCCTCCATAAGTGTGATTCCTAATGTAATAGCTTTTTATTGTAGTATCTCATAATCACTATATACGTGAAAATTTAGTTATGTATACACCTGTATATGTATAAATTACATTTTTGATTTTTTGATTTCCTTTGATCATAAGGCTCTGGGTATAAAAATATTCTGGAGTTAATTTTACATCTATTATTTGTACATTTGGGAAAAAAACTATATAAATTAAACATCATCATTTAATATAACAAATATATACAAATTTTGAAAAGTAAATTTTTAATATGTGACACAATTCATATTGGAAATAAATTTTTAGTGGGATTAATCTTGTTCACACTTTTGTTATATGGTTAATGACAGAAAATGGTATATCCTGCTAAAAATATCTTAGTAAGGAAGCCAGCGTGTTACTTTAGTTTTTGTTAATAAGCTATATAAATTATTAAAGATTTTATGGAATAAAATTAAAAGAGGGTTGACTGTAGGTGGAATAAATATTTCTGGACATGATTTGATAACTGCCTTACTAAATTACACACACTGAATCTGAAAGAAGTCATATAAAAGCTTTATCCATGTGTGTTTAGCCTATGAAAATTTTGAGTCCTGGAAACCATTCCGAGTCACGTTAAAAAGAATCATCTTCCCTAATTTTTTTTCCACCTTGGCCATTTCTTGGCCATTGGAGATGCCTGTCATTCTAGTGAATGACACATCCTATAGGTGAGTGTTAAGACTAGTCTAAAAGAATCACACTTCCATTTAAGTACATGAGGTTTATTTTTGTGTTCAATATTCCCTACCAAAGCCTTCTTTGCCATCTTCTCCCTGGACTCTCACTCAAGAGGGATGTACTTTTTGACCATTGTTGGAGAATGAAGAGGCAAGTACATTAAACAATAGTCATCACTGTTCCTGTGACCGCATTGTACCATACTCCTAAATTCGCAACAACCTAACATAAACCCGCACGTTCGGTTTCTATCATTGAGCTTAATCTCCAACGGAAATGTGTATGAGGGCAGGGAAATTCAGGGCCCCCCAGGGTCTATGGTATCTGGATTAATCATTGAAGGAGAATTCCTTATTGCTGGCTTCATGGGTGGATAAGAGTGGGGAATCCTTTTGTAAAAGGGAAAAATGTATATTTTTAAGGAAGTCAGTTTTAGGAAAGCTGAGGATCTGGAAATCGATTCCCTTAAAGCTACCAATGTTCTATGGTTCCTTTGAAAGTCTTCGCATATCTGTTTGAAGGCAACTAATCTATTTTGTGAGTCAGAGAATGTGAACTTTCACTAAGATTATTGTAAGCTATAACATAGAGCTTCTCTAAGCCCCTCCCAAACTCTCCTTTCCCATAATAACCTGTAGTCCATTAATAAAAGAGGCCAGAGGACTTGCTACTGAGTTCCACTGACAATTCTAGCCTTGCATCTTGAATCTCCTAAATCGAACAAATTGCATTTGTTACCCATATCACCAGGTCTGTAGCTGGCTCGATGTAGAGGTAGAACCAACCAGACCACAGCAGAGAAATCTAGCAGTTAGATAAAGCCACAGGAATGAGAAGAAAACTAATAGGCCTGAGGAATTGCATGTCTTTAAAGACAATGGGGAGAAACAAAATTAAAAAGTTTTTCACCATTTGAAATAAATTTTTATATTGAATTTTTATTCATAATTTTTTGCTTTGGGAGCATGAGACCTCAGCCACGTTGAACTTGGGCTAAGCCTAATTTTTGCAACAAATATCAAATCAATAAAAAGGGGGAAAAAAGCCAGAACTTAACTTTTTTGATATCAAAGAGAACATGACTTCTGGCTTCACTCCTTGACTCAAGACTCAGCTCCGATAAGGTAAATAATCTTACAGACAAGGAGATCAATAGAGGGATGGTTTTGTCAGCAAATTCATTCTTCCAAATTTTTAATTTCCTTTTAGCATCTCAATATGTACCTGTGAGTTATGTCTCTAATCCCTGTTTGAATTTATTTATATTTTAGATTGTTTGTGGCAACAAACAATGTTTTCTTTACCCTAAAATCACCTCTTTTATAGTTCAGGGATTGTCATCTTCCCTGTCATTCTGGGTAAGTAGCTTTTCTGGACCTTTTGCAGATCCTTCATGTCTTCCTAGGGTCTGTGCCTTCACATGCACATGGCCCTCCACATGCCTCTGCTGTTGACTTTGAGAACAGGGAAGGTAGAGGAACTCCCGCTTCATCTGTTTTTAAACCGTTGCTATGTTCTGGTGTGCTGATGTTCAAAAATGTCTGGCATTGTTTGAAAGAGATATATCTTCTAAGACACTCACTGCACTGAAAAGTAGTATTTGTTAGCAGAAAGGCAGTGTGACTGTTATCAGACCTTAGCAGGATGACCCTGGGTGTAGCTAACGTGCTCCGTAGCCTACAAGGCAGAATCACAGCATCACAGGGTTGGGATCCAGACCAAAGAGGAAGGAGGAAATGTACCTTCATTGAGCTTTATGAATTATTCTAAGTAATTCATACTCTAACTTTATGATATAGCAGCATTTAAATTCTCTATAATTAGGAGAAATTAACAGAAGGCCAGAAAATAAAGTAACCTTTTTAAGATTTCATAGTTTATTAAGTAGCAAGAATGAAAGCCCAGGTACGTTTTGTACCCAGCTATGTTCCTTTCTTTACATCGCTCGGCAAAATTTTTGATTACCGCTCATGTGCCACACACTGTGCTAGGATGTGAGGACTCCGTGTAAGATCTACCATAGTCTTTGCTCTGAAGGATATTTGAATCTACTCGAGTCAGGGAAACATAAACGAATAAATGCACTAGAGTGCATGAGTGTGTGTGTATGTTCTTGCCTTTGGCTTTCCTATCCTAATTAGAAATAGATGGACAGAGAAAATCTCATTCTGGAGATCTAAGGCAAGTCAGCAGTGAGGGAGGGACTTGAAGTGTAGCAATTTGCGTCCTAAGAGGCCTCAGCCCTGAAACCACATGTTTACTTCACTGCTGCTCTGCCAGCTGCAATGGGACCTGAGAATTTCTATGCAAAGGGAACAACAAAAGCTGGTTATCAAACACTGTATTAAGTTAAATATGGAGCCACTCATGATGGCAACAATCAACATGCAAATCAGTAACATCTGCCATATCTATCACAATGTCTTTAATTCACATTTGAGATTGTATCTCATCTCTTTCCACCTAGTGGGTGCTGTATAAATGCTTTCTAATCACATCTGCTGTAACAGAGCTCAGTGACCAATGTGACATTTAGTGACAATTATTCCGAAAAACAGGAAATACCCAGCGTTACATATGGTCCCAAGAAGCATGGCTGGCTAATAGATCATAATATTCTGTACTTAATCTTCAAGGACATAATGCCATTTTACAAAACACCTGTCTTAGAAAGACTGTGGTATCTATCATGCAACTGGTGCCTAGAATACCTGTTAAAGAACGCACAGAGATGCTGCCCGGAATCCCAACATGCTTTTATACAGCTTTGTGATGGAGGAATGAGAACACCTGAATATTGTTTATGAAATAATGAAAACAATAGTAATCCTAATAATTACCAGGAAGTTGGCATTCATATTTGGTATAATCTTCCCAGCAACCCTGAAAGTGGATACTCCTATTATCCTCATTTCCCACATGAGAATTTTGAGGCTTTAGGTCTGGGGGGGAGAACCTTTTTTCTGCCAAAGGCTATTTGGATATTTATAACATCATTTGCGGGCCATACAAAATTATCAACTTAAAATTAACTCTGAATAAAGCTCCTAGATTTATTGAATTTTGAGTCCCGCCTGCGGTTGCCTTGGCAGGGCCAGGCCAAATGATTTCCCTGGCCCAATACAGCCCGTGGGCCGGACATTCCCCTCCCCTGCTTTAGGGGATGAAGTGATTTGCCCAAAGCCATGCAGCTAGTTTCAAACTGGTTGCTGGTAGTTTCACACCCAGGTCTGCCCTTCTCCAAAGCCCAGACAGAGTTGATTAGTGAGAATTAAAGAATGCTTTTTCCCTGTTAATTTCTATGAAGCAAACTTCATTCTTTACACAGAAAAAAGAGCCAGACACTAAAATTATAGACCTTAACATCTCTTCTACTATGTAACATGCAACTAAGATGACCCTTTGAAAAGATAATTTTAACATGGACATTTTTATGTCTTATAATCTCTAAACTCTGTTCTATTAGCCATTGTCAGTCATCTCTTTTCCACTCAAAGGTTAATAGCTGAGCACCCACTTCTGATTTAGAGTGTATGGTTCGGGTGTGCGATCCAAAGGCATGACCCAGAATTAACCCTCCAGCTTCACTTTTCTTTTCAAGGAACCAAATTCCCTGCTGCATCAACTAATGAACTGCTGCCAACATTTCATTATAAGTGAGTTTACATGTCAATGTGCAAGAGCTTAAAATATGAAAACATTTGTAAATGGATCCCCAAGGTGAGGAAAAAAACCCATATATTTCTAAAAGCAGAGTATTATTCTTTCATTTTTTTAAAAATGGGGATCTGGTTTTTTTCCCCTTGAGAATATGTCTTGAGAATTAGCAGTAAGTTGGAAACAAAATATAAAATGGCACAAAGCTCCCACGCTTTACTTTTTGTCTATGTGGTTTCTTCTCAGAAGTGTTACTCCACAGTTGATGGATTGTACTCTCTTTTTTAAAAAATTTTATTTTATTGATTTCAGAGAGAGGAAGGGAGAGGGAGAGAGAGATAGAAACATCAATGATGAGAGAGAATCAATCAGCTGCCTCCTGCACGCCCCCGACTGGGGAATCAAGCCCAAAACCCTGGGCATGTGCCCTGACTGGGAATTGAACTGTGACCTCCTGGTTCCCATAGGTCAGTGCTCAACCACTGAGCCATGCTGGCCAGGCCATACTCTCTTTTTAAATGTCTAATTTCACCATGAGCCCTTTTAGAATTTTACAGAGCATTGATTTTGACTACTACATTTTTTACTTAAAAATGACTAAAAATAGAGGTGAGGTGCCTCAGATTTTGTCATAGCTCCATGGTTCTTAAAGAATGTCAGGAAATGGCCTGTTTTCAGACCTGGACTTTGATGATACAAAATAAAATAATTCTGTTTTCTCAAATGCTTGCTAAATGCTCATCACCATACTATGAACTTTGTGTGATCTCTTTAACATTTACTTAATTTCACTAAACCTCAGTTTTCTCATCTGTAAAATAAGAGCAAAAATAGCAGCTGCCTCATAGAGCGCTTTTAACGTGTGTAAGACCACGTGACTAAAAAACAGAAGACCTGGGATATGATTAAAGGTATATTTAGCCTTAAAAGCCCAAGTTTCTAACTAGACTATAGTGGACACGTGCAACATCTGCACATCCACACCTCAGTGGTGGTCCCCACAACCCTGACTGTTTTCATGGAAAGGCTGAAGTTGTTTCCTTGTAACTCTGTTTATACTATCCAACCGGATACCTTTTTAGAACTGGCTTGAGCAATTCTCAGCTAAGACTTAATTTGTTTTATCAATTTGCTTCTGTAGAAAGCGTTTGGACCTGCAGTTAGCAAAGTGTAGCCTCTTTATAAGTTACGCATTGAAAGGCCACTTGGCACCATGTACAGAGAGGAGCCCTGGTAGGCACCTTCCACATATGCAGTATAAGGCTCTTTTCCTATAGACTTCCCCCAAATATTATTTATTGACTGACACCCAGAGCTAATCATATTTCTCTCTTAATCTTTCCAAGGGATCTTTTCATTCCAAAACATATTGGTGGCTTCAGGATGGAGGGGACAGTTAACTTTGAATCTGCAAAGCTGGCTTGGAACAGGAAACACTGCTGCAGGTTGTGTAACCTCAGGGCACTTTCGTTTTTTCATGTGCAAAATGAGAGTAGTATTTGCCCTTTTTGCCGCCCAGTTCTTCAAGATAAAAATAGAAAGCATTATACAAAGAAGAGACAAAGTCACATAATTCTTAACGGCAAAGAATTTGGGTCCAAACAGCTTTAGATTTAAAGCCTGATTTTGACACTTAGTGGCTGCAGGGTGTTGGATGCATTGTTTAACCAAACAGAGCTAGAGACTGTGAAGACTAAATGAGATAATTCACTCACAATGCAACAAACTCTAGTAGGTTTTCTTGATTAACATTGGGTTATAAATGGTCTAATTTCAGTGTAAGAGAACAGAGAGGTAGGAAATATTAGAAAGACCTCAATGAACATGTGAGTTAATACTGTATACAAGTTTGACTTTAGTTTTGGTGCTTAACTAAGATCCGCATTCTCTAAATCTTGCCGGCATAATTCTAGGTCATCAGCGATAGATTACAATGAAAGCATTTTCATTAAACATTCTTTTCTCCAAAGAAAAGAATCTCAATTTGTAGACTTTACATCAGACTTGCCTTTGACTCTGTGTTTGGCACATAAAGTTCCTCAATAACTACAAGGTGTCTCCCAAAACTGTATACACACTTTGAATAATTATTAATTCCAATGGGTTAAAACTGAAAAGAAAGAAACATCAATTAAGCTATCAAAAAATGTATTTATATACATTTTTTGGGATACCCTATATTTTATATATAATGTGACATGTGTTTGCTTTTCTATGGAACCTCTCCAAAAGTCCTGTTTCTCAAGTTAATCAACACAGTTTACAAAGTCTTCCAGAGATCTGTCAAATGTATATTATGTGCCTAGCTGATGAAGTTATGACTATAAGAGATACGATGCATGCAAAGTAGTGGAAAAAGTTGCTTGTTTTGTATTTCTCCTGAATCAACAGGTGAGTTTGGCACAGTACACTTCTTTTTGGTAACTTTGATTATGCTTGAGACAAATTTCCTTTTTTAGGCTATGAAGAAAATTTTCTTCACGGTGCTAAGATATTTCAGATATCACTCAAAAGAACAGCAATTAAAGCATGTTAGAAGAACAGTTAACTTAAAAGAAAATTTCTCTTTGTTTTCTCTGCAAACCAAGTTACTGATAAATTCCTGAGCATCATAGTAAAAGATGCTAATTCTACATTATTATTGGTTTTTTTGCTTTGTCTTTCCTAGAATGACTACAAAAAACTGTCAATGCAGTGCAAAGATTTTGTTGTTGGACTTCTTGATCTGTGTAGAAACACCGAAGAAGTAGAGGCCATTCTGAATGGGGATGTTGAAGTGCACCACAGTGGCAGAGATCACGGCCGTCCAAATCTCAGCCGGTTAAAACTTGCCATTAAATATGAAGTAAAAAAAGTAAGGTCAGGCTTGAAGCCTATTTACATTATTTCAGTTCCTATTGGTGCTAAATGAGGGTGAAGAGTTGGGCATCGTTCAGTTCAGCTGGGTTTTTCTAATTAACAGTTGCTTTGGCAGATTCTCTAATGAGTCCTAGGAGCCTAGTGATGAGGCCTCTGACCCACCCGAATGCCGGTCTTCAAAATCTAGACGTCCTCATGTGGTGACACCATCTTCCTGTGCTTAACTAGTGACATAGCCATGACTTTTGTGTGTCCACCACAAGGCATTGGTCATATGACAAGAACATCATTATTTAAGACCCAACTCCATTTCTCATTTGTCGGTTTTCTTCTAATTCCTTCGTTAGTGCATTTCAGTCTCCTCCAACTGTACCTTTATTTGTGGAATATTTTTACTCTGGGCCTTCATGCAGTACATTCCTCCTCAAATCCTTGACTGCTTCCTTGGTTAGGTACAATATCTTTTTTAAAAAGGTTTTAAAGCTAAGTTTTATAATAAATGTAATACCTGCTTGTGGCAAGCTTTCAAACAGGATAGATCTACCCCCTCTGTCTTCCCAATTCTTACAGAAAGTGGTGAATCTCTGTTCTCTTTCTCCGCAAATCTATGCCTTTGACATGGTCACACGTCAGTAAACAGCCACTTCATCACTTCAAAGGTTGCACTGTCATATCATCCGGTTCATTTCAGCAGCTCACGCTTCAAGGCTGTCCATTATTTTCTTCACATTGGTTATTGTTACCGCAGGAAGCCACTGTCAACACACTTGTTCATACAGTTTGCTTACTTGCATGAGTTTTATTTGTAGACAAAATTCCCAGGTGCGTAGTTAATATAACACACTTTTATCTTTTAATTTCAAAACACTTGTTTAAGTTTCCCTTCAAAAAGAGATGCACCGTTTGTTTACACAGGCCAGCGGTGTATGACAGGGTTTATTTCTCGCGCTCAAAAGGAGTGTTATTAAACTTTACCATTCTGAGAAGATAAACATCGTATCTTGTTTTATCTCCGAGGTTGACCATCCTTAGGAATCATTTGTCGTTCCTTTTATAGCCTGTCCTTTATCTAACCTTTTAATATTCTTTACCAATTCTTTTATTTTAGGTTGCTGCTTTTGTACATTAATAATGTTGCCCTGGGTCCTATGTAGAGATCATTTAAAAAAATAAATAAGTGGAACAAATTCACTAATACAGATAACAGTGTGGTGGTTACCAGAGGGAAGGGGGGTGGGGAGAGAGTAAAGAGGGTCAAATATAGAGGCAGAAGGAAACTGGGCTTAGGGTGGTGAGCACACAATGCAATGGGCAGGTGATGTATTGTATAGAGCTGTACATCTGAAACTTATATAATGTTTTAACCAATGCTACCGCCATCAATTTAATTTAACAAATTGAATATGTGAGAATAAAGAATTCTGAAAAATAAAATTTTTTTAATTGAAAGAGTTTATGGCACAGAAATAGAATAGGCTGTCCATAAACAGACTCATATATATGAATGAGAATTTAGTATAAAATAAGTTTAGTGTTTTATGCCAATATAGGAAAGATGGTATACATTTTTTAAAAAGTATTTAAACATCTAGACCAGCAGGGTTTTTTCCATTGTTCCTTCTAGATGAAAAAAATCCCACACACTTAAAAAAGTCCTTGTGTAAAACACTGATGGATCTTTTTATAATATTAAATTTCAAATATTTTTATGCTTTGAAAGAAAGCCGATTTGTTATCAAGGAAACGTCTGATGAGTTGGAATCTCCTAATTTACATTATATTCACTAGAACATCATGCCATCTTGCTTAGTGCCGATCAACTAGATGTTTTAGGTTTGTTCCTTAATTCTAACGATATTTTTCATGGGAAAGAACGGAACAAAATTTTAGAGCAAAATAGTTTATGTTGAACTTCTCTTTAATCAAGCTGTTAAGTGTCACTTTCTTGCCAGTTTGTAGCTCATCCAAATTGTCAGCAGCAGCTCCTCTCCATATGGTATGAGAACCTGTCTGGTTTGCGGCAGCAGACGATGGCGGTCAAGTTTCTCGTGGTCCTTGCTGTTGCTGTGGGACTGCCCTTCCTGGCGCTCATTTACTGGTTTGCTCCGTGCAGCAAGGTACGTCTGTGAAACCTGGGCCTCTCTTATCTCCTAGAAGCATGTCTAGTTGAATATATCAGAGCCCGTATGCAAGGAAAATTCTGTTTCCCAAATGAAAATTTTAGGAAGGCCTTAAATAATCTTATTGTTTTTAACATTGCAAAAATAACATATACTAGCTAGGAAATAGATAAAGAAATAAAAAGAAGGGAACGTTGACCTGTAATATCATCACTGTTAATATGTAAAAGGAAACCTCAGTTACTACGGTAGTATATTTTCTGTTTGTCTTGTCTCAAGTCGTGTCCATGCATATATTTTTATATTTTTAAATGAGGTTATCGCATACATTGAGCGGATATTTCAAATAACATCTTAAAGATAAACATGCTTCCTCTCTTTATTTTTCCTCTGGCAAAATTTGGGAGGCAAATTTTTGTTTTGTATTTGTTTTAGCTAATATGACCACATAAATCTTAATTTAATAAAGGACAATCATATAAAACTAATGTAATGTTAGTTTCCATGAAGAATATTTATTTTAGGGACAGCGTACATTGTAACCTGACAGCAAAGATAGCCTTTTTTAAATTTTTATTTTTCATTTTAAGCAAAATCTATCTGCCCAGGCTTTGGTGAAAATATGTTCAGTGGACCTAGCCTTTCATTAGTGTGACAGAACAAGTTTGAAAAGTGTTCCGATGTTTGAATTCTGTTAACAGGCAAGACATTTGTCTGTCCTGCTTTGCCAACAGTCTTATTTCTCATGCTTCTGAAGCCACATTTCTGGAACTGTTTAAGTTAGGACTCTGACAGTCAGACTGGAATAATTCTCCAGCTACATGGCAAAGGTCTGCTGGACCATCTATTTATGTGCTTGGTAGAAATGTCAGCTGAATCCCTTGCTGGTCCTAAACATGGGCATGACTCACTTTCAAACATTGGTAAATGCGTGGGTGCAAACACAAATACCACCATTACCAACATATTGTTTTATTACTTATTCACATATTTGGTGCTTTAGCCTAATAGGGACCTTTATCAGCAGCTTTTAGGAGAAAGCTGATGTAAAGCCTTTTTTTAAAAATAGTGTGAACTTCATTATTGCTTTGTGGTGATGATAGGAACTGCTCGAAACTAGGCATTTTCTTACAAGTATAAAATTTATCACCACAGATTTTTTTCCCCTTAAAATATATAAGGCCAAAAATTTATCTCTAAAATATCAATGATGAAAATAATGAGATTTACTAGAATTAGAAATTTATAGCATAGATTTTCTTCTAGAATGTTATAATTTTTTTCTTCCCTCTTTCATAGGAATGCAGATTCCACTTTGAAAACTAATTCTAAATTGTCCTTCATAGAACAAAGGCTACATCTTTGTATATAGTCTCTGTTGTGCTTCTATTCACATTTCCTGAGTCTTCCGAGATTTAGGATGAATTCAAAGGGGAGGAGTTTCTGAATTATATCATTCTGTGATCGGTTAAATTTTAATATCTTTTCGAAACTGAATCATTGTCCTTCCCCCTATCCAGTGAGTTCAAAAGCATAATATGTTCCAGAGTGTTCGGTGTTTCGACAGCGATTATTTTTGGCAGTTCTTAGAGTTACACATTTCCTAAATTTTGATTGGATCTTAACCTGATTTCCTTCACTATTTCTTCTTCCCTGGCCATGGTTCTGTCTGGCATCTGTTTTCCATTCTCATTTATGAACACTGAGGCAAATAATCAAATTAAAAGGACACTGTCAAGGTATTTCCTTCTCATATTAAAACCTCTTTTACTGACTGTTATTTAGCTTTTAAAGCATGATGATAAAATTAATTTTATAATTTTTCCATTTAGCAATGAACATAAACAGTATTTGCAGGTTACAGAATTGATTTTTTATGGGGGAAGATTGCTTAAGCTATATTGATGCTTCTATTTAAAGTACTTTTTTGAATATTTAAAAATGTCCAATACATCCATGCAAGTTAAGCCAGATGGAATTGTAGGCCTAGGTACCTTGACAGAGTCCTGTTCTTGTTTGAAGTTGGTTTTCTCCTTTCAGAAACATTTTTTTGTTCTTTCTTGTTTTCTTTTTCCACTCTACCCCAAATATCAATTGCTTTATGTTCATTATAATAAAAATAGGTCATGCTGTGATTTCAAATTATTTTAGTTTAAGTTAGTGTCAACCTTTTCTGTTTCTATTGGTATTTGGTAGTTATGTATTTGGTCATCAATAAATACTTGAATGTAGTATGAAATATAATATTTAAAAGCAAGTATTTCTTTCAATGCTTTTACTCACTAACTTGCCAGGTACATCAGTTGTTTACCTTGTTCACTGACGAGTTCCCGACTTTACAGTTATTTTTCAGAAATATGTTTACATCTCAGAAGATATAGATGACAAATTTTACTAAAATGGAAAACTACTTAAATTCCTAAAGTCCTTGAAATGGTGCCAAAATCTGCTTTAGTTTAAAGAAAAACACAACTCTCAGTGATTTTGTTAGTGGTGGAAAAATGGCACCAGGTGTAAACCTTGGTTCAGCAACCTCAGTTCTTGGGCTCTGGCTAAGAAAGAATTCAGAGATGAGACTCAAACTGTAAGAGAAAGTTTATTTAGAGAGTCACAGAGGTAGAAGAAATGGGCTCAGGAAACAAGTTACAGCGAAAGAAGGGCCCTTGGAGCTTAGGAGAGAGAGAAAAAGAGCGAGAGAGAGAGAGAGAGAGAGTGAGTCCTGGGGAAAGAAGGGGGTGGGGAAAGAAGGCATGGGCATGCTACATAGAGAGAGTTGATCTGGATCCTCCATCCTAAGAGCTTTTATCTGAGGTTTCAGGTGAGGATCTCAAGAGAATATTCACCAGTTTTCCTGGTGTGTCTCTTCAGAGTAGCGGTCTCCACTGATTGCTCAGGGCCAGGGTAGGGGGTCATCAGTCAATGCAGCTGGTCCTCATGTCAGCCATGGCTTTGCTGCACCTGGTTTGGCTGCTTTTCTGGCCTGCAGCTGAAACACAGCTGAGGCCTAGATGTCATCTCCAGAGGTTAATGCTTAAGGGAGTGGAGTGCAAGGGCTTGTAATTGTGCCTGTTGCTCGGCACCCAGAGATGTTCATCCTGGTGACGTTCTGCACCTGGCTCATCCTTCCTGCTCTGCTCATGTCTGTCTATCTGCCTGCCTGCTACAATTTGTAATGGGAAATGGAGAATAGGAATATCTGAGCACACCATTTTAGTCTCCTGCCAACCAACTTTTTATTTTTTATTTGCTTTTTTTCCTTTGTTTAATTTCTTTCTTTGTACTAGAATGTTTAATAAGCAGCTAAAACACCTGGTTTGATTTTCCTCTGTTCCTTCTGGATAAATTAAAGGACTAATATTACATAAAGGCCAGTAATTCGATGAAGAAGGCAGGCCAGACATGTCAGGGGTGAGGCACAGATTAGACATCCTGCCTGAATAAGTGAACATTGACTCTGGGTGTGTCCAGGACATCGAAACTCAAGTTCCGGAGTTTTCAGGCTTGTGGCCCACTCTAATGTAGATGGCTTTATTCTCAACCCTGTTCTCTGTCCCCACCCTTTCTCTTCTCCTTCTCTGTCTCCTTTGCCTTCTCCTGTTTAATTTGTGCTCTCTTGTGTTCTGGGTAAACTTTGTATTTTGAGGGCTGCCTCTGATTCTTTCTGGAACAAGGCAGAATATAAATAAATTTTCCATGGATTTTGCTACTAACAGTCATGGCCCCAATCCCAGTTTTCCACAGCAGTGAAATAAATCAAAAATTTTAAAAAATTGGTTTAAGATTTATAATAGTTTTTTCTATGAGGAACTTATTAAATCTGGTGCTACATTTTCATTTGCTATAATATATAATTAAAATAAATCACATGTAAAACATGGTAGCATTAAAAGTATACATGTGGCACACCATGGGGAAAAAAATTAAAGATGCATTCATGTTGATTTGTTAACAGTCTGTATTTTTTTTTTTAAACATATCTCTATTGATTTCAGAGAGAGGAAAGGAGGGGGAGAGAGAGAGATAGAAACATCAGTGATGAGAGAGTCATTGATCGGCTGTCTAGCCCGCAACCTGGGCATGTGCCCTGACCGGGAATCGAACCCCAATCTCCTGGATCCTAGGTCGACGCTCAACCGCTGAGCCACGCCCAGCCGGGCAACAGTCTGTATTTTTGAAAACACAGCTAAGGACAACATGCAAAGGAAAATAAAGCCCACTCTGTTTCCCATTATTTTAACCTGCCTTCATTTGATATTTGAGAGGTCTATTAAACAGGATCTAAGAAAACAAAACAAAACAAATACTCTTTGAGTCAAATAATGAGCATTGTTACGGAAGAATGGTTTTTAGAGAGGATTTTTATAGCAGATTTTCACAAAGTAACTTTGGATTGTCTCTGCAATGTATCTAACTAGATGGATCCATTTGCCTAAAACCATATAGAAAGATATTAGACACACACACACACACACACAGGCTCTCGCTCAAATATCTTGATGCCCTGTCTGGCTTAAGATTTTAAATTCAAGAGACAAGGAACTGAAGTAGGTGATTCATTCTAGCCTTAATTTTTAAGATTTTGAAAATCATATAGGCAAATAAGACTTATAGGAAAAGAGAACATTGATTGCATTTCTTCCATAATAGCATTTAGTTTTTTCAAGTCTTTAAAAATTTATTTTTATTTTCTTATTTTTCAACTACAGTTGCCATTCAGTATTATGTTTCAGGTGTAGAACATAATGGTTACACATTTGTATAACTTATGAAGTGATTCCCCCAATAAGTCTAGTACCTACCTGTCACCATATATAGCTATGATTGACTTAAAATGGACCTTCTTTGTTTTCTCTAAGAATTTCCAAGTACCTCTATATGCACTTTAATGTTAAAGTAAGAAATTATTTTGCAAACCAAATGAACTTTGAAACAAGAATGCCTGAATTCAAATTCCAACTCTACTGTTTATGAGTTGTGCGACCTTTAAGCAAGTTTCTGGGTCTCACTTCCTCAGGTTTTTTTTAAATCTATAAAATAGGCATTTTAACATCACCTACCCCTTTGGATTGTAATTATGAGTTAACAAAGTAAAGCACTTAAAACAGTACTTGGCATGTGGCAAATATGGCTATGTTGTTGGTATTATTATTAATTTACCTAATTTACACACACCTAAAGAAAACAACTGCACACACACACTGAGTTTGCTGACCATTTCAGGGGATGCACAGAGCCCCTGAGATGTATCCTGGACACATAGAGTTAGTGCATCTCAGATGGAAACGAATCCTGTACTATAGAGACACAGGAGCTTTTACTGTCTCCATATTTCATAGGAAGAATTTGATTTTCACATAATTTAGGAAATTCGCTTATTGCCACTTAGCTAATGAAGGAATGAAACTGGAACTTGAACCTAAAATGTGGGACTTCAAGTCCAGTTGCATTCCAGAACATGGTTCCTGTACATTATGGGAACCGCCCTGCAGTCCTCTCCTCTGTTGGAAGTTATTTTCTTGGTACTCATGACTTCTACTCCATTTACAACATCCCCAAAATAGCAACATCACTGGAGGCCTGACTGTGCCCACGTCAGGGAAATATACACGAGGACCACAAGGAAGGCAAAGATCCAGCCAAGGGTCTGTGCGTTGCAGAGCAGTCTCAGTTTAATATTTTTATTGCTGCTTCCTCAATACTTCATGCCCATTAAATTAATTTGCTTTTTATGAATAATGATGATACTGTCTCTTGTATCATTATTATATTAATGAAATATTATTTTGTCAGTGCTATATAACGTTTTAAGAATTTAAATAACATTTACTAGAAAAGCTCACTTATTTATCAGTTCAGAACATCTACATATGTAGATGAGGAGTGTGACTAAAATTTTATAAGAGCATAAATAATTATTTTATCATTAGTTATAGAAATATACATCTTGCTCTTAGGAGAACATTGGAGTACACAGGTGGTTATTCTTGGGTATAGGCGTGTGTGTTTTGCAAAGCATACAAAACAAAGCTAAGATTTTCTTTTGGCCTGTGTTGTGGCAGATGGGGAAGATCATGCGTGGACCCTTCATGAAGTTCGTAGCACACGCAGCTTCCTTCACCATTTTTCTGGGACTCCTAGTCATGAATGCAGCTGACAGATTTGAAGGCACCAAACTCCTTCCTAATGAAACCAGCACAGATAATGCAAAACAGCTGTTCAGGATGAAAACATCCTGCTTCTCGTGGATGGAGATGCTCATCATATCCTGGGTAATAGGTAAAGTCTGATTTTCCATCATCATTTATTTTTGCAGCCTTAGCAGTTGGACTGGATGACACTGATCCCTGCACACATACAGCTGTATGCAGCACAGGACAATGCAGCGCACCATGATCTTCTTTGTGTTTTTAAAGCAGGCTTATCTTGGGTTCGTTATCAGTGTCATAGTCTTCTGACAAGCCCCAAGAAAAACCCAGGAAGAAAATAAACAGGATAGTATTAATCAAACGCCATCAGGGATGAAAAACTGCCACTCATATTTTGGAAGAGCTGTGACTTAAAGCTTAAAAACAACCACATGAGATTTAATAGGAGCTGAAGCGAATAGCTACTCATTTTGGGAATATTATGTACCAGAAACTGTTCAAAGCACTTCATTTTATTTATTGATTTTTTTAAAGAGAGAGAGAAACATCAGTTTGTTGTTCCACTTACTGATGCACTCATTGGTTGCTGCTTGCATGGGCTCTGACGGGAGATCAAACCTGCAGCCTTGGTGCATCCGGACAACACTCTCACCAACTGAGCTACCCGGTCAGGCCTCAAAGCACTTTTTATGCATCAAATCTCACCATCTCTCTGCCTCCATTTTCCAATCTGTAACTTAATAATACATCTACCTTACAGCATTTATGTGAGAATTATGTAATTTGCTTTAGAGCTCCCAGTTGGTAAAGTGAAACCGGGGTGCAGTATTAATTACCACACTATTTGTCAATCAATGACACGTGTGACTTGTCATTAAATATAATGCAAATAGAAAAGATATGTCAATTGGATATTTATGAATGAATAAATTCAATAGCTGTTAAGTGCCTTTGTTAGGGAGTGAGGAGTCCTTGCACTCAAGGAAGTTAAGTGTGGGGCAGGTCAATAAGTGAATCAGTAATTAAAACCTATGTGATGAATACTGTCATGGAGAAGCTGTTAGGGTACTGTGGCCCTGCACAAACTGGGCAACTCAAGCTGAGTGAGTTTGAATGTGGAAGGGGCAGAGAAGGCCTCCCTGGACAGCACCTTCAGTCTGAGACTTTGAAGGTAAGGGAATGTTAACCTAATCAGGTGTCTGGCGGGGAGTAAGGACATGGAGACCTTAGTTGGGAGAATGTGGAAAGGGGACCGCACCTGGCGAACTTAAAGTGTTATGGGTTAGGACCAGCTGGAGCACAGGTGCTTTTGTGGATGTGGCTGATGGCAGACCAGGGTGGTGAGATGGCATAAGATGATTTTTAGTGTTTGTGATGTGATCAGATCACTCACAGTTGAGAAAGGTCCCTGGGATTCAGGGGGTGGGGGAAAGGATGTGAGAGCTTCTTAAAAGATCCACTTCAGAAAACTTGGTGACTTGTACACGGAAAGGGAGAGCTGTGGACTCCGCCTGGGGTTACTGGGTGGTGACTGCAGTTCTGGAAGAGGGAGAAGGTAGAAGGAAGACCGTGCTTGGGTCCGAGAGAACAAAAAGATGATAATGACGTTTGGGTTGTGATGGCCTTTGAAGTTCCCATGGGATTTCCATGTGAAGATGGCTACCAGGTAATAGAAAATGCAACCCTTGGGAGGAGCCTGGGTTGTGCATCAAGTTTCAGCCCCTTTATTTCCTAGATGGTAGTTAAGGCCCTGACTGTGCGTGATATGACCCGTGGTGGAGAAATATAGGCTGTAAAGGGAAGAAGCCTCAAGGAATCTTCTTTCAAACCTCTAGTTATTAATCCATGAGCTGGGTTCTCCCCCAGTGACCTGGAGAAGCATCCACAGGCAGTTTTATATCACTTCTAGGGCAGGGGCTGTCTTCTTGGCTTCCTCACCCCGGGGCCCATAGGATTGTGAGTGGCTCTGGGTGCCACATGCAGGCCATGGGCACACTAGGGAGCATCTGAGGGAGAGCAACCAGAAGAGCATGAGCGAGTGCCCCTCCACAGGACAGCCCTGGAGGGGCACGAGGAAGCTTATGCTGGGGGGGAGGGGGGGAGAAGTGGAACCCAGGGCCTGTGGAGCCTGAAGTGCATGAGTTGGAGAGCCCCATTTAGAGAGAAAGAAGTCAAAACTGGGCTTTAGAAGGAGCCTGGCTGAATAAGGCAACTTGAAACTTAAATTTCATTAGCTTCATGGTAAAACCTGCTTCTGCAGAAGAACAGATTTAATGAGCACACGGGTGATTTTGTTTTATTTAATTTAAAGAAATTTAAAGCAGAGGGATCAGAGTTTTCCTCTACTGCCCTCTAGTACCAACCAGTTCACATGGAGGGGATACTTTCTACAAATTCAGCAATGGGATGATAGCCTTCAGAAGTAGTAAGCACCTCATCTCCAGGCACGTTCAAGCAGAGGCTTGGTCACAGTGGAGAAGTCCCTCACTTGCAACAGGAGTTGGCCTAGATGGGGGATTTCAGATTATGCTTGGCAGCTCCCAGGGACTCTCAGGGGAAACAGGACAGGGAATCTTTCTTCAAGCAGTATAGTTCACTGTATTCATTTTGTTTTTTAAGCTTTGGTAAGATATTTTTACCAATAATTCTAGGAGAGAGAGAGAGGGAAGGAGAGAGGGGGGTAAGATGGAGAAATGGGAGGAAGGAGAGGAAGCTTTGAAAACAACTAGACCATATGAGTTTAAATACCCCATTAATCCCTATGGTTCAGTTCTCTAAACTACCCTCGTCTCCTATTGAGGAGGCTGGCAGGAACCCAGGGACCACAAAGGGACCACAAAAGGAAAGCTGCCTTCAGATTTTTTCATCCCTGCTCGTAGTTTTGGGGGCTGGAGGAGGGGTGTGTGTGTGTAAGTGTATACATGCAGTATATCCTGTTTTAAATTTGACCCACTAAAATGTGCATGACTTTAATCCTAGCCACCTCTTAATGTGGAGAAATTCAAAATAAAGTAATGAAGTGGGCTTCTCGTAAAAGCACATCGTCTGTGCTGCACTGACTGCTCGTTTTGAGAAAAGCGCATAGGAAATGGTTAGTGAGCAGAGACCATTCACACGGCGGGTTCTCCGTTAGAGGTTCATTACAGATGTGAGAATTTGGGGCAGGTGGTTGTTGGGAGAAAGGGGAGAAGATTAATTTCAGCTCGGGGACTGTGAAAGACTTCTTGATGGAGGTAGGTTTTGATCAATTATTGGAATCTAAAGATTATATTCCTCCACATGGCTCCAGGAGAAAGCAGGATGTCAGAGAGTAGGGTGCCTTAAAGGTAATAGGGGGAGCCTGGCCAGAGTGGCTCAGGTTGAGCCTTGTCCTGTGCACTGAAAGGTTGCTGGTTTGATTCCTGGTCAGGGCACATACCTAGGCTGTGGGTTCGATCCCTGGTCAGGGCACATGTAGAAGGCAACCAATCAATGTTTCTCTCTCTCTCTCTCCCTTCCTCTTTCTAAGCAAGTCCTTGGTGAGGATTACAAAAAAAAAGGCAATAGGGGTAAAGTCACTCCTTTTTAATAAAGTAAGATTCAAATTAAGACAGAAATTATGTGCCAATCAGAGAAATGTAAAAGTAGTAAGTGCTCAATAAATGTTAGCCTTTACTTTGCCCAAGTGCCAGACACTGTGCAATGTAGTTCACATGTATGATTTTATTTGTCTCATAACAGTTCTATGAAATAGTTGAAAATTACCATCATACCCATTTTACAGACTGAGTTTTAGAAAGTTTTAAGTAATTTGCCAAAGATTACATAGCTAATAAATGGAGGGACAAGGTCTCCAATCCATGGCGATCTATCCCCAAACCTGTTTCTAAGTACTACACTAAATTTTCGAGCAAATGTGCAGTATTAGTAATAATTCCACCAGCAAGAGACCACTATTATTAATAGGGTCCTGAATTCCTTCTAGTCTTTTACTGTAGGAAAACATAAAGTCCTAGAATACACTGCATATTTGACTCTTTTACTTAACACGTTTAAATGCTCATGAGAAACATTTTCTACCACATTAGTCCAGGTCTTCCAAGAAGCATGTGCAAAGACAGGATTAAATATATGACAAGTTTATGAAGACAGGTTGAAATTCTATTAAGGGAAATTTCACGTGGGATAAAATGGGGAGGGAGCTGAGGAAGGGTGCAAGGGCTGTCAGGCTGGGATGCAAGTCTGATCCTGAGGGATGGAGAGAGGGAAGGAAATTTGGGAATAAGCATCCTAGAGCTCCGTGCAAGGCTGTCAGGAAATTCTTGCGCCAAAATCAGCCATCAGAGGAGTCTCATGTCTCCCAAGAAGGGGTGCCCTCAGTCATTGGCTGGGAGTAGCCTAAGGGAAGCATGGTCGGGGGACAAAAGTGGCTGTAGTTTTTAGACTGCAGAATTTGAAGCCCCTGGACAATGAAATTCCTGTAGCTGAAGGCCTGTGAGGTACATTCTCCTGGTCACTACCCTGTGGCAATTAAAAGATCATACCAAATGGCTGCATACTACTCCATCTGTGAAAGTCCCATAATTCTATTTTGAGTGTGTGTGTATGTGTTGGTTATAAAGAATCCTACAGTGAACATCTTTTAAACATATTTTTTATGTATAGAACTAATGGATCAAAATATTTTTTTAAGCACCTCGATGAACTTTGTCACATTGCTTTCAGGTAATGCAGTGATATTGGTGGACTGTGGGATTTGGGGGGACATGGGAATTATTTATGAGTGGTTGGTCTGAAGCCAAATGCTGAAGGATTTTGAATATCAGGCTGAGGCCTTTTAAATTTCTTTTGTTTTATTGAAGGACTTAGGCTGGAATGAAATTGAATTGCTTTTTTAACCCCTTTCCAATGCAGGCATGATATGGGCTGAATGTAAAGAAATTTGGACTCAAGGCCCCAAAGAATATTTGTTTGAGTTGTGGAATATGCTTGATTTTGGTATGTTAGCGATCTTCGCGGCATCGTTTATTGCAAGATTCATGGCATTTTGGCATGCTTCCAAAGCTCAGAGCATCATTGATGCAAATGATACTTTGAAGGACTTAACAAAAGTCACACTGGGAGACAATGTGAAATACTACAATTTGGGTGAGTTTACAGTACACATTCAATATAAGTTAATAAAAATGTAGAATTTTCTTATAAAAGTACATGTCAATAGTAGTTTGGTTACTATCAATTCCCATTGAATTACTGGCTAGTTTCCAGCTTTCCAGCTTCTTCAGAGTATCTGTATATGAGGAAGCATGTTATTTGTTCCTTCCTTCTATTTTTTTCTTTTGGCTGGAAACATCTCTTAATCATAAGATTTATCTCACTTGTCTCTTGAATCAGTTGGCTAACCACCAAACTCCATTGAGAATGCCTGTCTTATGTCTTGGATTTATTTTTTTCCTCTTGTCTATTAAAAATAGTACACATCTGCGTATCATTTCCATTTAAAACATACAAATTATTTGAAAGCAAGGGAATTGTTGGAATCTCTGGAAGGGGCCCCCAGTAAATAACACCACTGTTTCCCACCCAGGCTTTGAACTAGTAGAGAAATAAAGCAAAAAGTTAATATGGAGGGCAGATCATCACCCCTAATACTGATAAAGCTCAGAGTAGATGACATAGTTCTGAGCCGTTACTCAGTGGGATCTGCATTAGGCAGATGTATCCTTCCATTTCCAGGCAGCAATGGACAGGGAAGTCCTGTCCTAAGAGGAATATGGCAGCACATGCCCTGACCATGTGACATTCCTCCAGGGAGGGCAGGAGAATTCTCAAGAAAAGAGGGCAGAGCTGAACCAGGTTTGCTCAGTTATCCATCCCAAGCTAACAATCTGGAAAGTCACTCTACCTCCCAGGAGGAAAGTGACAAGGGATGGATATAGGTCCAGTTATTTGCCTAGGAAAACCCCTTCTTGTAGAAACCTAGAGTGGGAAAAATAGATTCCCTCTGAATACTTATTTTTAAACCCTTTGATAAGGTATCAGTTAACACAGTCGATTGACATCTCTGCAGGTTTATTGGCTATATCACATAAGGATTTCTTTTTTATTATTAATTTTTAATATTTTAACATTTAATTAAAGTTTTTTAATATACAGAATTTTATAAAGTCAAAGCTATCTATCTGTTTATATGTAGTTCTTATATTCCAAGCACTATGAAAAAAGAAAACTGCTTTTATTAGTTTCTTGTATCCTTTCCTAGTTCGACTTCTTAGCAAATAAGCAAAAACAAATTTATAATAACACATTGTTTTTGCATTTTTCTTCATGATAGTTTCTTAATTGGGTTTTTTTGATGATCTGATATCAGGTCATTAAAATTAATAAATGAATAATTGCTCATTTTTATGATAAAAATAGACTTGAGTGACTCATAAAATTATTTAATAAGTTTAAATAATCAGAAGCATCCCACAAGCCCAAAATCACATTATAGTGTTATAGTTTAAGATTAAATAATAAGTGCTACCATTTATTTAGTGCCAAGCACTTTCTAAACATGGAAGGTATGTTGACTTACTGAATTCTCACAACAGATGAGAAAGGTAGGAGTGGTATTATCTCATTTTCAAGGATGAGAAAATAAGACTAAGAGAAGTTAAATAATTTTACCAGTTTTTCCAGCCTATCTACTGGAATTTTTACATATACTGAGTCTCTAGTTTGAGCTCTTAACCTTTATGTTATACTCTCATGGAAAATTGCCAGCAAGCCAGCCAGGAGGGCCATTTTCTCAATAAATTCATAAGCTCAAATATACCTGACACTTAAAGAAGCCCTTTAAGATCAGAGAATTCCATGGGAACTAGATTGCTAATGTAATTGCATTCATAACCGGAAAAAGTTACCTAAATAAGCAACTTAAAGACACTCACCATAACTCTTCATCTTTCCTTTTTCCTAGCCAGGATAAAGTGGGACCCCTCTGATCCTCAAATTATATCTGAAGGTCTTTATGCAATTGCTGTAGTTTTAAGTTTCTCCAGAATAGCTTATATCTTACCAGCAAATGAAAGCTTTGGACCTCTGCAGATATCGCTTGGAAGGACAGTGAAAGACATCTTCAAGTTCATGGTCATATTCATCATGGTGTTTGTGGCCTTCATGATTGGGATGTTCAACCTTTACTCTTACTACATCGGTGCCAAACAAAACGAGGCTTTCACAACGTACGTGATCTCGGGTGTTTTAACGATGGTGATTGCAGGTTAAAGAAATATGAACTGAAATGATTCCAGAGTCACTAAATGTTGTGTAAAACAAAATGAGAACCTCATGATTTGTATGTTCTCAGATGTTTTGATGGTGAAGGCTGCAGATTAAATAAATGTCGGCTGAACAGTGTTTGTATGTGTCCATGGGATAGATAATTCTTTGATAAAGATTTATCTCCAGTTCCTCTTTAGCAGAATGAGGTGATTTTTAGATGAGTTGAAAGAACTCGAAGATATAAGCACTTTCCTAATTTAAAGTGATCATAGCTTACATTTTTAGAGCCAGGTACTGTAATAAACCCCTCACATGCATGATTTCATTATTTCCGTTTCACAAAAAGAGGAAGCCGAAGTTCAGAAAAGTGAAATACCTTGCTGAATGCTGTTGCACAGCTGCGAGCATTTGGAAAAGCTGGAACATAACCCCTTGTCCACGGACCTCAGGATCTGCGCTCTCAACTGCTTACAGGACGCCTGGGGCACTGGCCATGAGAGCAGCTGCTTTCCTAATTTGTCAGATCTTATTGAGAAGATCTGCCTTATCAACAGGGACCAGAGTTTTGACTTATGTTCACCACAGACACCCCTGTTTTTTTAAATAAAGTATGTTTAGAATTGATTACTCAGATATTAGGTCCTCGTGTCACAATCAGAAGCATCAACTGAAACATAACCTATTGTTACCCATACTTTTGTGAAGTGCAGTTTATCAGAGAAATAAAACCACTTGGGTTAAGCAGAGGGGCTGAGCTTTGGTCTGTAATTATACCTAAAGCATGGAAATACCTACCAAGACATGTCAGTGATTTTGGTAACAGTTTATATAGATAACAGTCTATGTTTATATTGTCATATTTTCCTTAAGACACATACTATTGTTATCTACTATTTATTGCACATAAGTAGAAATATAGATGAGCAGGAAACCTAAAGGGACTCTAACATATTGTATTATTTTTATTAAGTAATACATTTAATACTTCCATTGCCAAGCTATAGATTATTTAAATGTTAACATCTGTAGTTATGAAGTTATGTTTAATAACATTTATTGAGTGCTTATTATGTGCCAGATATTGAGCTATGTGCTTCATATGCACAGTATTACCTCATTCTTGCAGCAGTGCTGGAGATAAAAGTTATTGTACCTATTTTATAGAAATAACTGAGGTTCAGGGAAGTTAAAGAATTTTCTCATGAATACCTAGTAATTTGCAAAGACAATAAATTAACTCACTTTTATTATGGCACTACTGTCATTCTTTTATACACTTCATTATTTCCTTTCTCTCTTTTATTTTTCCCCAGAGTCGAGGAGAGTTTTAAGACATTGTTCTGGGCTATCTTTGGACTTTCTGAAGTGAAATCAGTGGTCATCAACTATAATCACAAATTCATTGAAAACATTGGCTATGTTCTTTATGGCGTCTATAACGTGACAATGGTTATTGTTCTGCTAAACATGCTAATTGCAATGATCAACAGTTCATTCCAGGAAATTGAGGTATAGTCCCTATACATTTGTATAATCTGTACCTAAATGGTTTAACTATTCTAGGAATCAACTCAGCAGTGATGATAGAAATACAGACAACTTTCCCTCCTTTGTTCTTTCCCTGTTTATATAATTGCTTGACCAGTGATCTAGAAAATTTTAACTCTTTGCTTCCAAATGTAACATCTATGGGTGTAGTGGGAGAGTTAAGTGTGAGGAGGAGAAATGCTGTCTGATTTTTTATTAAAAAAATTAAAAATACTGTATCATTTTTAATTTCTATTTTATTCAAAAATAGATTACTTATGAATACCACTGTTCTCCAAATCTTTTTTGAGTGAGGTTCCTAATTGATATTTTCTCAAATTTAGAGTGATTACAAATTTTAATTCCAGAAACCTCTGTCTGTGTCCTGAGTTAATCAAGCAAGAGATCTCTTGCAGAATGAAAGAGTGGGTAATATTTTAGAGTGTTTTTTAGGATGTAAGAAAATACATTTATATCTTCCAGTGTATTTATAAATACACGCCTGCTGAGATCTGCAGTCCTGTAAGCCTGACGAAATTTTAGACAGATTTAGGAGAGTGTGTGAGTGGAACCAACCTTTTGGAAAGACCTTGGAGCAGCCTTCGGGGCTGCGAGTGTTTGCAGGCGTCGCTGCAGGCACACAGCGTGGGACACGCCCCGGTGACTTTGTTTGAGGGTTCCCTTGCTGAACTGCCATGTGTATCTGTTTAGGATGATGCGGATGTGGAATGGAAATTTGCAAGGGCCAAACTTTGGTTTTCCTACTTTGAGGAGGGAAGAACTCTTCCTGTTCCCTTCAACCTGGTGCCAAGTCCAAAGTCCCTGTTTTATGTCTTGCTGAAGCTTAAAAAATGGATTTCTGAGCTGTTCCAGGGTCATAAGAAAGGTTTCCAGGAGGATGCAGAGATGAACAAGGTAATTTGACTTGATAACTGTTTATTACATTTTTAAATGCTGTGGCTGTTATAAGTGCTGTACTGTTATATCCCTTTAAAAAGAAGTGGTCCGTTATGACATGTCCATTTATTCCTTATGTAGTCAGTTGCTCAGCTTGGTCCTTTGGCTTATGTCTGTATAACAGGAGCACATTGGACATGTCTTACTTAAAGGAATATCAGAAAAAATTATTAAATGTAACTAAAATAATGTAATACATTACTTGGAGCAGATAGTGAAAGGGGGAGCTATTCTGGGACCCCCCTTTTGCTGTTGTGGCTACATGTCTCTCTACCTTCAAACCGCTAGGCAAAGCATCGGTAGCTGATTATGCCTCGGAGGAATTTGACTCTTAAGTAGCTTCTATATTGAAAAGTTCAGAAATCAACTGCTCTCCTGCGTTGTGGGAGCCTAGGCTTGGCAGTAGCTGGTTCAGGAAAGAAAGATCTGAGGGAACTAATTGGAAACAATAATCCAATGAGGCAGCACAATCTCAAGAAACCATAAAAGAGGCACATTGCTTAGAGGAAGGGATAGGGTGATCGCAGGATGTGCAGAAATGTTTAGAGCACATGTGGAATGTTGTATATAACTGTGTGGGCGGGGGGGGGTACTCTATGCAAAACCCCTGCTGGGTGCAGAACTCTACAGCCAGGAGTAGCTGCGTCCGGAGGAGGTGTACCCAGATGGGGACAGGTGTGGAAAGGTCTCATGATGGGGAACTGCAGGAGTTGCCTCTTTCACCTGAAGAAGGAAGATTGAAGGGGAACATGACTATCTTTCGGATTCTCACTGTTGACTACGAAATAAAATTGTTTTTTGTCCCTTCAGAAGTAGGAAGAGAGGCAATGGGTGAAAGTTACGAAAAGTTCAATTTTAGTTCTATGTAAAAACAAACTTGTAACAAAATCTTCCCAACAGGGTGGTGGGCTGTTTTATGATGTAATAGTCTCTCATCACTGAAAGTAATCAATATGCTGGATGACCAACATTAGGATATGTATAGAAGATCTTCCTACACTGGGTGGGCAATTATGCCAAATGATTGTAAAAGTTCCTTGCAATTATAAGATTCTATCATGAATAAAGGGGAAACATTCTAATTCCTGCTCCATTTGCCACTTACTACTTGGGCTTCTCAAGTGAGTGATAAACTCTGAGCTCTAGTTTCCTCAACTGCACTATGGGAATAAAATTATGTCCACATTATGAAGATCAAATAAACATGTAAAAGTGCTTTGAGAATTCCAAAGCCCTCTTTAAATATTATTATTATTGTTATTTTATGTTGGAATTTTGGAAAAATATGCCATTTAAGACAGCTTTCCAGATGTATTACATAGAACCCAGTGGGCTGAGTAGCAAAAACTTTCCTTACTTTACTTAATAAAATTAAGTTGTGACTAGAACTGCAATCTGAGAGAATTCAGTGTCCAAAGGAAATGTCTAAGCACTTATCAAAGGGAAGACCCTAATAAGAGTATTTTTCTATTATTGAAACTTGCTGGAGGCTTAGGCCAGATGGCCTTTAAAATATGGAATAAAGAAAGAATAAAACTTGTTTTGTAATACCAAATGTACGATTAGCAATTATACTCATTTTATTATCTATTTTTAAAAGAGAAACGAAGAAAAGAAGTTTGGAATTTTGGGAAGCCACGAAGACCTTCCAAAATTATCACTGGACAGAAAACAGGTAAGATTATCTTTGAAAATATGAAGTAATGCATATGACCAGGCTTATCTTTTCAGAGAAAAGAACAAATGTTCAGAAGCAATTTCAAGAAACAGAAATTATACACATTAAAGAATTTATTTTAACAATGCGTAAGGAATCTGTTTTTGAGAGCTGGAATTAAAGCTATGTTCAAACAGTCAGCAGAGAAATTATGAGTATATTTAAGATATATTAAACACATATTTTGGGGAACTTATGGATGATGTAATAAAGGAATAATGATGTAAAGAAGGAAAAATTAAAATAATAGAGGAACTTGTCAGGGGCTGATGGGGATAGCATTAAACTATCAGCAGCTCAGGTGGGGAGTATGCACAGCTGGTAGAGAGCCTCCTTACTTGTCAGTAATCAAGAAGCTGTCAAAAAAGGCACCACGAGAATTCAATGGCTGTTGTAGTTGGCGTAGTTTATAATGAGCAGTGTGCCTTGGAAATGTATCAGCGCCCTAATTTGGAGAAGCTGAATCCCAGGGATGGGGGCATTTGCTTCCTTCTTATTGCATGCACATAGAGGCTCAAGAAATGCTTATGGATACAGGAGTTACACATGAATTAATTAGGAGAAGACAATGCATGAGGAAGGACTTGTATTCAGTTGCACATAAAAAACAAATCCCGGTGTCTTACAAGACAGTTGCTTTCCCCTTCCCATTTAACACCCACAGCTGGGGTACCACAGGCCTGTTGCCAGGGGTGAGTCTCGGCGATTTCCTTGGATTTTTGGTGTGATAGTCAGATGCAAGATGACAGGTCCACCTCCAGCCATCGCACCCAGTTTTTAATCATGGAGAAAGAGTAAGGGCAAAGGAAAAGGGGTGTGCCAGCCAACTCTGCTACACTGTCGGAAGCGCCTCCATCAGTTTCTGTTGTTTTAGCTCATTAGCCAGAACTGTGCTACAGAGTCACTCCGTGGGACACACAAATGCCGAGGAGGGAGGCCTTTTTGTTTCGTTTTTCAGCTCTGTTACCTCCCCAGCACAGTAAGAATACTCATAAGTACTGACTTAGTAAGAGCATTGAACTAAGTCCTCAGAAGGTTGGGATCTCAACTCATCTCTGCCTTTTTAGCAATTCATTTGACTTATCCAAACTTCAATTTCCTCATCTAGGAAGTAGGGATGATCAAGTTATATAACCCATCCCACAAAACTGCTGGGAGGGTTAAATTGGTCTTTTGTAAATTACAAACACTGCACAAATGTAAAGTACTTGTCATAAAGAAGTGGCTCTTTTTGTTATTTGGGTATAAGCATCTCAATAAAAATTTTGCAAAAATAGGTCAGTGTAACTTGGATTTTATAGTTTTCATGTAAGAAACTACTAGTGCCGAAATTATAATGACTGCATGACACCAAAAATCATTGGACAAATATGAAAAAAATCCAAAGGGAATCAAATGCCTTTTTTTATGCTAGAAACTGTAGTATCTCTCAAATGAAATAATATTATTTTCTTTGTAGTATCTCCAAAGGTGTAGAAAATGAAAATTTGTTTTAATCATCTGAAAAATACATTTTATGTCCTTTAAATAAGGCTTGGATCACCTTATACTTTCCTATAGCACATAGATATATATTTTTACTAACAATAATATATTTTATTTTAATGGTGCTATAGCACATATTTTAATCCTAGATTAAAACACACTCTTTAAGAGCAATACTAAGCATGTGGTATCTGACCCTGGTGTAGATCAACAAAATGCTGATCCAATATCGGTTCCTCATCTAGAGACCCTTCTGCGTAATTGTGTATCGCGGCAGCCGTGGAGAGGTGCCATTCATACCTTCTTTGAGCAAAGAGCTGCTTCCTGTGCTCAGCTGACAGCCTTCAGTGCAGCACCTTTGGGATCCCCCTCGGCTTTCCCACAGTGGCCATGCTCTTGTCCTGGCCATCACAGGACCCCTTTGGGGGCAGTCTTTGAACAGCTCCCTGTCGGGCTGGCTGACTTTCTCAGAAAATCTGTTTACCTCTCCCTCTTTCACAGAGGAGCTGAGCCTCACGGCCTGGAAGCTTTTTCTGCCTTCTCCTGCTCGCAGTCCCCATTATCTCTCATAGGCGTAATTCTAAATACATTTCACACTTCTAACTTTGGCTTGGAGGTGGATTCCTGGAGGGCCAAGTCACCTCAGTGTCTGTTTTCCCTTGCCGTGTAAGCTCGTGATGAACAAAAGCTGAGGCACATTTCCCATAGCTTGCTTTTTCATGATACATTAACTACACATCTTTCTGAGAAAATTTTTGTTGTTTTCTTTTTAAAGCAGCCCTATATATTTCCAAACATTTTTTCCTATTGTTACTGAGATGGGCACTTATACATGCTAAGAAAAACTCTCACGGTTCATTCTTCTTTATCCAAGTCACGTGGCTTGCGCTCATTCATTTTCATGAAGCTACGTCCAAAATGACCCGGTTAAGTTTGTATTTCACTCGGTTCTTTTCTCTGACTCCTTGAAGGCTAATCGGTCAGGCTGCACAAACCGGGCCTTCACATCTGCTTCAACCACACCGTGGAAATCGGTGGGATGAGCCATATAAATAAGCTTTTTGAAACAAAGTAAGCAGACCTGTTAATTATTTTCGATCATATTCTTTTAAAGGTCACTGACTTCGGTGGTTGCTGGCATTAGCTTTTCAGATATGCAGTCTGAAAGGGCAGCATAAATTAAAAGTTGACCTCTGCCGTGCTGTATTATAGGTGTAAACCTGAAAATGCCAAATAGCTTCTATTTGGAAGCTGGAATAACTGCTGGTTCCAGCTCCAGAGCAGATCGCTGTGCAGTTGGCCGTGTTAGCGCGGTTTATACACCTTACGCAGAAAACATGGAGCACAGACGTGTTATTTTAGCATCGTTAGTGTGTTCTACTGGGTTGAGTGAGATGTGGAAATTTTAAAAAATCAGTTGCATATCCAGGAACTCTATCCTTTAACTTTTAAGCAAATCAGAGACTTTTATTTACTTATTTATTTATTTATTTTTGTTAATTCTAACCCAAGGATATTTTTTCCATAGATTTTTAGAGTGGGGGAGAGGAAGGGGGAGNTGGAAGGGGGAGAAAGAGAGAGATCAAGATCGCTTGGTTGCCTGCCACAGGTGCCACGATTGGGGCCTGGGATTAAACCTGCAACCCAGGAACATGCCCTTGACCTGTGATTTGAACCCATGACCTTTCCGTGAGCTGGCTNAGGAAGGGGGAGAAAGAGAGAGAGATCAAGATCGCTTGGTTGCCTGCCACAGGTGCCACGATTGGGGCCTGGGATTAAACCTGCAACCCAGGAACATGCCCTTGACCTGTGATTTGAACCCATGACCTTTCCGTGAGCTGGCTGGCACTAACCATTGAGCAACACCAGCTAGGGCAGAGGCTATCTTTTTAATCCTCTGGTGAAACAATCACATAAAGTAGTGGTTTTAATTTGTCAGTGTCACCAGGACCACTTCTCTGGGTGAGTTTATACAAATTCTCAGCCCTCTTTGGGCCTGTTGAGTTACAGTCTCTGGCAATGAGGCGTGGAAATGTGTATTTTGATAAGACCTCAGGAGATTCTGATGCTTGTCTGGGTGTGGGAATCGCTGAATATTTCATTCCCTGAATGACTTCGTCATGAGCTTGGACATGTCAGTAAAAAGCAATATTTGCAAAGTATCTCCAGAAAAAATAAACTAGATTAAAGCTAACGATAAAATAAGCCCAAAGCCACAGAGTAGATATTTCTAACTTTTGTTTAATAATAACAGCTACTGCCACTTGTAGAACACCTACTGTACCTCAATCTGCATATCCTACATACCCCATCTCTTTAATCCTCACATTAGCTCTAGAAGGTTGGGATTACTGTTTTCCCTATTTTATACATGAGGAATTTGAGGATTAATAAAGGTGAAATGACCTGCCCAAAGTCCCGTTTCAGACAGGTGACCAAGCCAGAATTCAAATTCACATCCTCTTGATTGCAAAGGCAGAGATTTACGTGCTCTGTGCCCCATGGCTTCGCTTCACGCCTGCGTCTCCTGCAGACTCAGTGCCTTGCCTACGCCTTTCAGTCTGTGGTTTGCTCCTGCCTCAGGCGCCCCATGCTGTGGGGAGTGGGAGACTCTCAGAACTATCACTATGTCCAACAGCATAATAAATTCCAAAGGCTGAGTGAAGCTTACTTGTTCCCCTTAATGCACAGCAAGCAAGTTACTGAGTGTTCCTTACTCTACTTCTACAACAAAGCTACAAACACATGAGCTATGCCAACACACTAATTATTAAAAATGAAACAGAGGGAAAAAACATAAAGAATGCAGGAAATGTGGTAGAAGGCATGTAAAAAGAAAGGATAGGCAAGGGATCATTCACAGCTGGAGTGTATATTTGTACGTTAATCAGGAACAAAGCTTATAGCCAGTCCTTCCTACTTCTGCTCAACCAGCTTCCCCTCCCCACTCCCATTGTATTGTACTTGTCACTATGATCTATAACTACCCAGATCCCTAAGGTTTCAATATCATTCATGTTGCAAATTGAATTCCCTTGACTTTTCAGTCTATTTTCATAGTGTACGTAGAAACAATTATATATTAGAATTTTCTGCCACCAAGTGGTAATAATGCTTATTTGCACCACTGGGTGAGTTCCTCCTTACATGCTACTTTTGTATTACTCAGTTTTAACATGTGTTTATTGAATACCTGTTATGTGTTAGAAACAGATTAGAAATTTTTCTTTCAAAATGTTATATTTGCATCCAAATTCATATCTTAGATTTAGAGCAGAACTAGTCACATAAAAATGTTCCAAATAACTTTACAATTGTTTAGTCATATACCATTTAAATAAGCAGTGGTTCCCAACCAGGGGTAGTTTTGCCCTCCCCTCACCCCCACCCCCAGGGTGCATTTATAATAGCTGGAGACATTTTTGGTTGTCACAACCAAAGAGGGTAGCTGTTACTGGCATCTAGTGGGTAGAGCGCATGGGTGCTGCTAAGCATTCTGTAATACACAGAAGGCACTGTCCCCTGTAATTATCTAGCCCAGAGTGTGAAAAATGTCTCAGTTGAGAAATCTTGAATTTTGTCCACTGAATCCCCTCCCAGGAGAGCTGCATGTTGGGCTGCAACTGTATGAACACACTGTAGCTGTGGACACTAACACTTCAGGATCTACGTTCTGGAAATTGCTCAATCATATGCATTCTCAAATGAACAGAATACCATTTTCTGGCTTTCCTGGCACTGTTACTTCTGGGCCACCTGGTGTGTTACTTTGTAAGGCACCTGCCCTATGCCTTAAAACCAATTCCCCACGTTTCAGATGTATCTTTACCATGTAGTTGGGCTGCAACCAACTGGTTCATGAACCTAGATTGTTTTGTACATGACTCGTATAGCGAAGTGTCTAGAAACCAAGTGAGGTCCACCAGTGACCACAAAGCACTACGGACTTTGGGATGAACTAAAAAGTCCATCCTTCCATACAGCCTAGAGAATGTAGACAGTAAACATGTGACTAAGCCAGTGAATATAATAATTGTCAGTCGTGAAGCACATCATGAAGGAAACAAGGGGCCTAGCTTGCTCGAGAGCTATTTTTCATGGGGTGTGCAGGAAAAGCTTTGCTGAGAAGCTTATGTTTTAAGCAAAAATCCAAAAGGTGAGACAGAGTAATCATCCAGGCAAAGAGCCAGGAAATGAGGGCTTCTGGAATTGAAAACAGCAAACACAAAAGCCTTAAATTAGGAAAGAGCAAATGAAAGAAGCCCTGTGTGACATTACTATAATATTAAGTTTCAAAAAAAGTGTTATCTCACAGGCATGGTGTGTCATGGAGCTGCCTTAATTGAGGATGATTGACATATTGAGTATTAAGGACCACACATTTGCCTTCAAAAAAATCCCTAGGAAGCAAATTTTTTCACTTTCTTATTTCTATGAATGCCTTTGGGTGTACTTGTAGCCTCTAATGAAAAAAAATGAGACATCAAATTAATGATTTGCAATGTTGAGGTTGTGAATTCATGAATGGGTAGTAAAGGATTTGCAAAAACTCCATTTGTCTGGGTCTTTTCCTTCTGATTATGAACTTGTCCTCACCCTCCACGCTTTATCATAAAAACTGGGGGATGAAAAGGAGCTTGAACATGGCCATTACATCCTTAAGGCACAAATTACAGTTTAAAAGCCAGAAATAATTATAGCATTATAAGAATAAATGAATAGTTATGTTCTTTTAAAATAAATTAAGTATTACAAATTATATTATTAAAAATGTTTATGTGTGCATAAATTTCACAAGTTTATGCATTAGAAGAACTTGAAGGACTATAGAGGTCAACTAGACCACTCCCTTCATTGTCAGAAGAGATAACAGAGTTTTAGTTTCTTGCCTCGTGTTCTATAGCTAACTTGTGGCAGAGACAGATTTGAGTCTTCAGCTTTCTGTCAAGTGCTCTTAAGAACCTAAGTTGCCTCTCTTTGGTTAATTTGGTCAGTTGTATAATTTTATTTTATTGTCCTCATTTTAAAAATACATTTTTAAATTGATGTTTTAGAAAGAGGAAGGGGGAGAGAGAGAGAGAGAGAAAGAGAAAGAGAGAGAAAGATCGATGTGAGAGAGAAACATCAATAGGCTGCGTCCTGAACCAGCCCTGACTGGGGATCGAACCTGGGCATGTTCCCTAACCAGAGTCAAACCTGCCACCTTTTGGTGTGCAGGACGATGCTCCAATCCAGCCACACTGGCCAGGACTTATTGTTTTTTAAAGCAAATATAAAATAAAATAATGTACATTTCGCTGATATTTTTAGAGAAAGTGAAAGAAAAAGGGAAATAGCTATGTGAAAAAAGATGCCATGTAAACAGTATTATCAAAATTGCATATTGTTTTTTATGGATTTTGTCAGCCTTGCCATATTTTCCTATTATTATAATTTAGCTAGCACATAATTATTTATGTTCATTAATTCCTATAACCTAGCACAGCACCTTACATACAGCAGACACTCAATACATACTTGTTCAATGGATGAATGTGCACATAGCTGTTTTAACTCAGCATGTAGGCATTTAAAGGTCAAAGTATTGAAGTCAAGGATTTTAATTGAGTCTCATTGAGCTGTACTTATAGCAACTTAGATGTCATTGGGAAACATCTTTGAAGACAGGCTTAAATTTTCTCAACCCCTGTAAACAGTTGTGTACCCAAGACATGCAAATTTGGAGCTGCTCTGTTTCACTCAGGTTATCATTATCATTATTATTATTATTTTTTTTTTTTTTTGGTAAAATCATGTTTTCCCTTTAGAAAATGACTTGAAGAGTTTTTAAATCATCCTCTTAGCATGTTAACATGGTGTGTTAAAACCTTTATTGCAAATTGCTTTAATTCTTTGTTATTTGCCTGTTCAAGCAAATATACAGGATGTCCCCCCACAAAAAAAAGGTATACACACTTTAACAGCTGATAACTCAATGGATGTTTCTTTTTTTTTCATATTTAACCCATGGAATTAATAATTATTCAAAATGTGTATATATTTTTTGTGACACCCTGTATTACTTGAAAAGTGCTTCCCAAATTGGATACAATACAGATCCTAAAATTCAAATGGATTAATTAGTGTTTTCTTGGCACCTGAATTTTGTCCCACAACAGTCTCATTCTGGCATTTCTTCTGGATCCCCATCACATGCGACTGCAGCATGGTATATTGTAGTCAATCATACTGGCCTGTTGACGCCTCATCAATGAATTTCTGAAGTCATCACCATTATTTTCCCAACTTGTTTGCCTCTTCCTCTGTCACAGAAGTGTCTGTGGGAAGGTCAAAGCATGACTCTCATGACAGCATGATTGATGCCACAAAGTCTAAAAGACTCCTCAGAGGACCTCTCCTAGCCATTGAGAGATTGAACACACCTAAAGTACCTATGGTTTGTCTTGGAAGAGAGAACATTAAGCCAGTGAAGTGAAAATGGCTCTATATGAATAGATAAGATTATTTATATATAAGAGTTAGTTCATTTATATAACTAATAAATCTCTTCACATTTAAAAAAATTAAATAAGAATCAGTTTCTAATTTTTTTTTTTTCAAATTACAGCTTGGGCAGAGTAAAGAATCAAGCATAAGAAGCTCAGAAGATTTCCAGTTAAACAGTTTCAATAATCCTCCAAGACAGTATCAGGTAAGCATGAATTTTTAAAGAAATCAGGCTAGTTATTTATAATTTATGAAATGCTTTAAATGAAACTGAACTATTATATTTTTCTCAATATCAAAATGATGCATTAATTCAACAAATATTTATTGAGTAACTACCATGTGCTAGGCATTTACTAAATATTGGAGTTACGTAGGTAAACAAAATAGATGAAGTTTTGACATCATGGAGTGGAGTTTAGAGTCTCCGTGTTCATTGTAAAAAGTCTATTCTTACTAAAAACATAAAGAAGAGAGTAAAATTCACCTTAAACCCTACCACTGAGGAATAAAGACTGCCTACTTTTGGTGACTATTCTGCCAGATGATTTTAGGTATGTGTATAATATTACATATATTAATATTATTATATAAATATATATAATATATAAACAACTTAAATTTATATAATGAGCAATAATATTTCACTATTGTATTTTCACAAAACAAATTCATATTAATTTTAATGGATATATATTATTCCTTTGTTCAAATATATGATAATATATTAATATAATCTCTTATTGATGTACATGTAAGGGCTTATTTTTCTACTCTTGTGTAGTATTACCATGAACATATTTGTCCATGAACCCAGTTACATCCTTGGAATAAGTTCTTGGAAGCGGAATTTTACTGTCCACCATTTCCTTTTGGGCTTAGGTAGTAAGATGTGGTTTAGCTCTGTCTTCACTCAGGACCCCTGCGCATGTGCTGAGCCTCCTACTTTTCATGAAAAGTATGTAGTAAAAGCACATCCTCACGGGAGAAGCTTTGGTACTGGAGGAACTGTATTACGTTGAAACTGACCATTCATAAATTACTAGCAAGCCCAAAATCAAAGCACAAATCCCCCGTTTCTTAGTAAGGGAGGGGAAAACCATATGAGTTTTTCCCCGTTTGCTTGATTTTCCATTTCCACCTGCAGCCCTGCATACCTTTAGCCTGTCCAACTGCAAGGCTGTGTCTTGCCCTAATGCTTTTCAAATAAAATACAAGCAATGAGTCAAGGATTATGTGTTTGTTCTGAACTTGCTCTTTTCTGAAGTATTAACTTTTGAGCCATTAGTTCAGGGGTATGAAAATTGCTTTAAAAATTTAGGGATAGCCCGGCCGGGCGTAGCTTAGCAGGTGAGTGTCGACCTAGGATCCAGGCGATCAGGGTTCGATTCCTGGTCAGGGCACATGCCCGGGTTGTGGGCTTGATCCCCAGCAGGGGGCGTACAGGAGGCAGCTGATCAGTGACTCTCATCATTGATGTTTCTATCTCTCTCCCTCTCCCCTCCTCTCTCTGAAATCAATAAGATATATTTTTTTTAAAACAATTGGGGGATCGTATGCATTCCCTGGCAGGTAAACCGTCTTCATCTTTGATAACCATCATGTCTAAAGTGCTTGCTACAGAGGGAATCTCTTAGATTTATTCCAAATGAGAGATTTGTCATGAACATAAAACTGAGGTGGATATTTTCCTCTCTCTAGAAAATAATGAAGAGGCTCATTAAAAGATATGTACTAAAGGCCCAGATCGATAAGGAAGGTGACGAAGTGAATGAAGGTGAGTTGAACACGGGGACAGGGGACAAGTCGGCCCCTGAGTGTGAGCCGGGATGTGGGCCTGATGGGGAGCTGAAGGGGGGCCGGAGAGAGGGCATGGGAAGGGTGAGCTTCAAGGGGGAGAGAAGACAGGTTCTCACCAATTGTCAGTATCATTACGTTCTCAGGAAACAGGCCATTTCTCCACAGTTGGGGGCAGATACCACTAGTTAGATAAGTAACTATTGTTTCTATGGGGGGCTTGGAGGGAGGAGGAAGTGGTTGGGAAAGGTGAAGGGCTGTTCCTCCCAACCCCCAAAACATTTGCCACCAGTGTTTTCCTTTAATTTCCTTTCAGAGGACTTTTGTTATAATTTTTTCCTATAATCTTTTCATGAACTGAAATACTTAGCTGACAAAATAGAAATCTGCCCATTAGGAAGTTATTTCCTACAGAAGGGTTCAAAATACAGATCTGTGTGGAGACACGCCTGATTTCACTCAACCCCAGAATCGCTAGTTTCTCTGCATTTCATACTGACAGTTGACTTCTTGTCACTTTTTTTTTTCAAAGGGGAACTGAAGGAAATTAAACAGGACATCTCAAGTCTCCGCTATGAACTCCTGGAAGAAAAAACTCAGAATTCAGAAGATCTAGCAGAACTTATTAGAAAACTTGGGGAGAAATTACCAGTGGAACCAAATCAAGGGGAAAGCAATAGATAATGCAAAGATTTTCCTAAAATCCGTATTTATTTGTCCACTTGAAACCATATTATTTTCTGATTTATTTTTTTAAGTGCCAATGTGTCTACCTTTTAAACAAGAAAATGTTCAAAGATAACGTGGGTCATACTAGCACCTGGAACCCCAATATTTACTATTTTTCATGGATAAGTGTCATCATTCAGGCTAAAGAGTTCAGACTATGATGAAAATTCTGCGCGGTCGTTTGGTGCTTGTTTTATAAACTGCTTTCTTGGATATAACTATTGCGATGGTGTGATTGCTGCGCAGCATCTGCCTGGGAGTCATCTTAGCTGCAGAGGATGGACACACCATTCTGTGGTATTTTGCCTGGGTGATTTCAGGCACCTTCTTGCCGGCTCTGTGGATTCCCTGAAATCGAAAGAAAAAAATCTGTGGCCATTTAGAGAATGATGTTTAATCATCTGCCCTGCTTAGCCCCCACAGAACGTGATTGATAATGTCTGTGCAAAATGGGGTTAAATCTTCCCGAAATTTTTTGATTCATCTCTTTGAAAATATTACATTTACCAGTGAAACAGTGTTTCTGTCACTGAACCCTGCAAATATGCTTCAGGTGCGTGTGTGTGTGTGTGTGTGTGTGTGTGTGTGTGTGCCCGCGTGCACGTGCGTGTGTGAAATGCTTGCCCTATTTTCTTTTGCAGCCAATGTAGACCCTCAAAAGCTCTTTATGTTATAGTTTTTTATTGTGACTGAAAAATTATTCACCAAGTAAGGACCCTTTATTGGAGAAATATCAAAGCGACAAACAATTGTGGTCATTTGGTCCAATTATAGCACAGTTTTGTACCATTTCCAAGGGACTTTACAGGTGGATTCCCACGTTTGGCATCAACTATAAAGACAAGAAAGGCTGAGGGAACTTGCAGATACTTATCTCTTATTGTCAGTATGTTCTACGCTCCTCTCAAAATATGTAGAACAGAAATTTGCATTTGTGAACATTCACCAAGAGGTTACTGCTGGCTGCTGCTCTGAGGCAGTAGCTAAGGAAGGAAAAGAGAAATGAAAGGTCACCTGTTCGACTCCCCCAGACTATCATGTAGTGGGTGCTGGGCAGGCGCTGAAAGTGCGGCCTTAAATTCAATGAAGAAGGACTTCAGGTGCAAAAAGTTAACTTCAATTGAAAGATAAAATGGTCATAGAATATCAGTTCAGCACCAAATTGGACTGAATTTAAATCACAGGGTTTTTACATAACCAGCAGAAAATATAGCTGAAATTTTGTATTCGGTGTGATTTTGTATTTGTGGGTGTTATTTATTAAGTTATTTAGTGATACAGAAAAGGTCTGTTTGCAAATGTTTCATCACAATATTTGAACCAGAAGTCGCAGACATCAACCTCATACCAAACGCATTATCACCTAATTAAAATAATCCAACATCCACAAACCTGTGTGTCGTCCATGTGCGAGACTGGCCCCCGTGCCTGGGAGTCAGCAGGTTTTTCCTCAGAATGTGGCTGAATGGGCACCTCTTCTAATTTCTTTTTGATTGAAAGATGAAAAGAGCAAGCAACCATGTTTTAAGAAAGGTTTTTAGAGAGCTTAATTAAAGGCATAGTGCCCAGGGGTCATCATGAACACGACCATCCCCCATACCTCTCAAGACCACTGGCTTTAAATCCTGTACTCATGTTGCAGTCAGCTTAACTTCTTGAAATAAAGTGATTAATAAGTGCAAATGTATTTAAATATTTTTTGTTAATCATCACTTGAGGATTTTTTCCCGTTGATTTTTAGAGAGAGTGTAAGGGAAGGAGGGATGGGGCAGAGAGAGAGAGAAACATCGATGTGAGAGAGACACATCAAGATTAGTTGCCTCCCACATGTGCCCCGACCGGGGTGGGAACGAACCTGCAACCCAAGTATGTGCCCTTGACCAGGAATCGAACCGGTGACCCTTTGGTGCACAGGCTGAGGCTCTACCACTGAGCCACGCCAGCCAGGGTGTGGAAATGTATTTATGCAAACTGGTGTCTTTGTCATATTTCTCCTCTCAGATTTGGTGCTTTCTGGAGGTTTGGCTCCCATAAGTAGGACAGAACAGTGCTGCCTGTCACTGACCCCACAGCTGATCTCTGAGGCCAAGCCATGTTCCCTCCTCTCACAGACCCACCACCAGTGAACAAAACAGCGTCCCTGTTTTTGTACATCAGTGCCTACTTTTGCTCTCTGCCGATCTCGTTACTCTGACACTGAGAAGTAACACAGATTCAATATGATTATACTAAGCATATAAAGTGAATGACTAGAATCTCTTGTCTGCTTAAAACTTTGCCAGGGATTGAAGGAAGTAGAAAATAAGTGTCTGACCTCAATGAACTGGCCGCCAAGTCAAGAAATGGGAGTTAATACAACTATAAGAACCATTTTCTGAGCACCTACCCTGGCCCAGGCAGTGTGGTAAATGCTTTCCATGCATTATCTAACTTAATCTAACCCAATGCTTGCAACAACTGAATGAAGTAAATACTGTTTATCTCCACAAATCGAGAAAACTTAGGCTTTTAGAGGCTAAGTAACTTGTACTGGAAGTTAAATGTCAGCCCAGGAACAAAACCCAGGCCTGCCTCACAGCAGAGATCTCACACTTACCTGGGGTCTTGACTGACGATATTGGAGTGTGGTTATCTCATTGTGAAACTTATATTTCAATCTCTGAGGAAAAATGGCCTGTACCTAAAAACCCCAAGTTCCATGACATACCCAGTCCAGAGGCAGACAATAACATTAACCAAGGCTTTGGATAAAGAGAAGATTTGTCTTCAAAAGGATTGTAGGTATGAAAAAGAATGAAAGATGCAGATGTATAATAAAGGAGTGGCACGAGCCAGGCCAAGAGTTGGGCATGAGTGTGGGACACTAAGGAAGCTTTTCAGAGAGAGATAGTATGTTCAACGACTGACTCACTGAGGAGAACAGATTGACTTTATTTGGGACGTTTAGCCCACCCGTCCAAGTTTATCCCAGTATGAAAGAATTTTTTCACCATGTAAATAGTAAAAGCAAACCAAACATTCTATTAAAATGGAGAGACTATATGGGAGTATTTGCCAACCAGGTAGACTGACAGGAGTCCCCGAATGGAATCACTGTCAGGACCAATTTCCAGCTTCAGGACAAAGAAGAGATGTTTTTCCACGTGCCACGTTCGAAGGCTGGCCTACATCTGTTCTACTCGGAAACCTTCCTTTGTCACCATGTTCCAGGCGGGTTAATGAGAGCCATGCCAGCTGTCCCCGCCGCTCTGTTGAATAATGCTGGGTATGAATTCCTGTGCTGCCAGAGTCTGCCGCTTGATGGAGAGGGTGCAGATTGAATCACCAGAGGAGCAGGAAAGAATATGAATTCCTCACCCAGGCCTTTGTGTTGTACTCAGGAAACATCTAATTAGCTTTCCAAGTGAGCAAATTAATCAAAGTTCATGTAGGAGTGGAACCCAGCACCCTACTGTGGATGGCAGTTGAAAATTCAGTTAAACATCTGTTATCATACAAAACACTGACTCATAATCTGAGTCCTTAACTTTTGTGTGTGGCTGGCTGGGGTGAGACGAGGCACCATGCACTCTCTGAAAGACCTGGCAAATGTTTTCTGTTTTTTCTTGAATCATTAGAATGACTGCTTGAATTTTCTTCTTTACTCTGTATTTACAGCAACAGCCATAAAAGTTTCCACAGGCGCTTTTTAAAACATTCTCCCAGGATGAATTTGATGATAACGCCTAGTCACAAGCCACAAAAGCTTTCATTTTGGAATCAGTTCTTGCAGAGATTTTTATGCAACCGAGTCAGTAGCGAGAGACCCTGACCAGCTATGCGATAGTTCTGTTTTTATATTAGTATCAATTGATGAATAATCAGTTTATCCAGTGTGAGCGGATTATAGGGATATTTTAACAAATTAAAAAATTTATTTTATTATTTTATTTATTTTATTTTATTATTTTATTTTATTTTATTTTAAATTTTTTCATCATTTGTACCCTCTGTGGTCTCTCCCACCTCCACCCACCCTCTCTCTCCTTACAGGGATATTGATTCGTGGCTTTCAAACTCTTCATGAAAAGGACTTGTCTAGTTGCCATGCTCTTCAATAGTAAGGGGAATCATATCTACTCAACAGGGCATGTGTTCATAATATCAGAGCATTCCCTAAGTATAGTGTTATGGAGGACATGGACGTAAAAACAGAAACATTGGTATGTGTAGGATAAAAGGTCTCACTGCCCCCCTTTCCTAGTGCCCACGCTGTGAGCCAGAGGCTTTTTCCACTGCCCACTGCGGAGCTGTGGGAACAGCATGTGACGCGGCGACATCGGGTGTCCTCCAGGGCAGCACAGTACATCGTGAATTTTGTTTCCCTAAATCATTGCAGAAACCTTGGTGATGACCTTCAGGGAGAGAGGCTTGAGCTCCACTGCCCTGCATCTTTGTCCCGATCCCTGTCCGTGTAAACAGACTGTCGTCACCGCCAGGCCGCTCTCAGGAGGCAGGTGACGTATCGTCCTGTCCCAGGCTGAGGACGGGCCGGCGCACCGCGGCCGCTTTAACCTTTTCAGACGGTGATTCAGCCGCTGACATTTACCCCTCGCTCTCTTCCAGAAGAGGGACCATCCCTGAGAATCTGGAAAAGGTCAGACCCTAGTGTTACCTTACATTTCAAAAAGTGTTTACGTCATATCGTTGCTGCTGTTCGTCCACATGTGAAAAATATATACAAATACAGTTTGTCAGGATGCGTAATGTATAACCATATAATGCATGTGTCAGGGGCGAGGACACTCCTTCCTGCCATTTGGGTATTTATAACATCATTTGCAGGCCATACAAAATGACCAACTTAAAAACTAGCTATGAAAAAAGCTCCTGGATCTATTGAATTTCAAGTCCCACCTGCGGTTACCTTGGCAGGGCCAGACCGAAGGATTTCACGGGCCATATACGGCCCACGGGCCAGATGTTCCCCACCCCTGGCAAGTATAATATATATAATAAAAAATATTCTTCAAAGCATTGTTATAGTCCTAGGGAAAAAACACTATGCTACAAATATATTTTTTTGGTTTCTCACTTGTCCTATTTCATTTTTCTTTTTTAATTTTAATGATTTCCACGTTTTTCTAGTCTCTACATAATATCTACCTCTTCTGCTGAGTTCCTTAAAGCCTAGTATTATAGACTCTGGAGGCAGAAAATGTGGGTTTGATTCCCAACTCTT